CATCCTCAGTGTCTTCATGGTAGTCCTCCTCAGCCTCAGCCTCATCCTCTTCATCAGAGTAAACTTGGGGAATGAAGTCACCTACCTGTACATCACCTACCTGAACCTCACCTTCATCATCGTCGAGGATCCAGATGACTTCAGGGGAGCCATCTGCCGGGTACTCGATGACGAAGGACACACCATCTGAGGCAGGGGAAAAAAAATCAAATACTCAAATTATAATATCGGAGTGACTATTTGCACCCCAGTATAAATAAATCCTGAACTCTAACCCTCTCCCCCCTCTCTCACAGACCCGCCCTACTCCTCAGGAGCCCCCATCGCCCTCTTCCCTCTCTTCACATCAATACACACACACACAGACATACACACAGTACTAATGGCACTTTAAGGACTTTGACTTTTCTTTTTATTTTATATTCTTGATATTGTGCCCTACTGTATATATGTCTCTTTGTTTTTACTTATTTTTATCTTTATATTTATAAGCCTGGGCAGCTGGAGGACTGCTCCAACAGAATTTAATTGTTTTGTGCAATGACAATAAAGATTATTCTTATTCTTATTCTTAGCCTTGGCCTCTCAGCTGGGCTATTTTCAGCCCTGTATGACGTGTGACAACAAACTTTGCGCGTACAAAAAACCTAACTGACGCAGACCTCCTGTTTGTTTCTGTATACTGAAACCATTTCCCTCAGTGGAAACAGCTTGTATTTACTCTTATTTCACAGATAAGAAACTATAAACTGTGAAGACAGTAAAGCCTCCACTAAAATAGCATTTTAAGTCTTGTGTATGATTTATCCTTCAGGGATTTATAGGTTTCATATGAGGAAATCTCTGCTCGGCACTAGGCTAATTTATACAATGTAAAATGCCATAGGCTTGTGCTAATAACGTTAGCATTTTGTATTTGTTTGGAAAACCTGTTTAGTATGAAAGTTGGTTTGTCGGTGAATCTTGTGAGTTGTAATGGAGCCAAACTGTGTGCCGTCACCTTTGTTAAATGTTGCTGTTGTCCCTGATTTTATATGAGAAGAGGAAAAGATCGCCGGCCACTAGGCTAAACTATACAATGTAAAATGCCATAGGTTTGTGCTAATTATGTTAGCATGGTATATTTGTTTGGAAAATGTGTTTAGTACAGGACAGCTGTTTTGTCAGTGAACTTTGAGTTGTAATGGAGCCAAACTGTGTGCTTTTACCGTTGTTGAATGTTGCTGTTGTCCCTGGTTTTATATGAGAAGTGTGAAAAAGATTGCTAGTTGCTAGGCTAATTCATACAATGTAAAATGCCATAGGCTTGTGCTAATAACGTTAGCATGTTGTATTTGTGGGGAAAATGTGTACGGATTAACACACGTGTTTGTCTGTGAATGCTTGGAGTTAGAGTGAAGCTCATTTGTGTACTTGTGTTTGAAATTGCCTCTATTAAGACGAGTTTATTGAGTGTTTTGGGTGTGTTTTGAATCATCTACAGCACTTCACAGAAACCTCCGCTGCCGACTAGTGTTTTGGAGGTGTAACTGCAGAGTGACACAGACACACCACTACAACCATATATCTATGACTACAACGGTGCGGGCGACGTGCGTATGGTCTACGCACAGCCATACATCTGCTTAAGGAAAAGCCACTTGGCATGGTTGCATTGTAATGGTAGGATAATTAGCTATAACTAACCTAGGTCCTGAGGGTTGAGGTTGAGAAGATAGGCCTAATAGTTAAGTTGTACAAAATGAGGGAAGCCTACATTGCACCAAGGTGGGTATAAGCAGCACCCATCACTATAATCCAGTGTAGGAATAGCATCCGCTTCTAATTGTAGTGGTGCAAATATCAACATAGTGCTATTTGTACCAGGGTGAAAACAGCCCTTATCTTATAATGTATTAGACATATAAGGATTTCTGATTAAGTCACTCTTTAAATATTTTGGATTGAATAAGCAGCAATCAAAATTTATATTGGAAAACACTACAACATACATATATGCTAGGCAAATACAGCTGCACTACATCAGTATCAAAGTTCACCAACACACAAGGGGCTACACCTTCTAACAGTAATATCAAATACTGTGCAACTCAGCCTCCAGTTTGAACAGATGACAGCATGACAATCAATTCATGCTGCATTATATAGCATCAAATAAAGCTGCAGTAACAATGTGATCAATCCACGTCACTTCAGTGATGACAAAATGCCCCATGGTTTGCAATAAACAGTGTAAATGTATTTCACATGCGTCATTACGTACAGTGCACCATGGCTACATAAATCCAAAAAATACCTCAGTGAGCTCTGTGCAGACCTAACTACAAGTTTATAACACATTGTTCTCAAAGTGCGTGTAGTAGTTGATCTCACCCTGGACGCAGGACGCGCACACACAGTCAATCATGTACAGTTAGGCTACATAACAAATCCGTCTCTTGCAAACAAAATACCACACTAACGAGCGAAGCGCATTTCAATAGGCTATTGAATGGTAAAAAATAGGTTTATTTAATATGATACTTTGACACTAAGATACAAAAAGCCAGGCTTCAACAATCAAAACAAACGAGCTCAGGAGACTGTGCCCTGGTCTGATCACACCTGTGCGTCCTCACGTCCTGACGTTCGCTCCTAATAGTGCCATCGTTGCCATGGCGCACAACATGATAACATTTTGATAACGTTTAAAATTCAGCCCGGTCGCCATTTTTTTTAAGTAGAACTGATCACAGATTGTCACATGTCAATAATTTGATACCCTCAAACACAATAAGCAGTGTTTTCAAATCACTACATTAATTATTAACACATTCCGCACCTGTCCCGGTAGATTTAATACATCCTGTCAAATACATCAGTTTACAGACAAACCGTGAATTAGTGTGATAACAAATGTGATCATGAGAAATTAGCGTCTGTTTTCATCAAATCTGGAGTTTTCCAACAGACCTAATAATGCTGTGAACTGTTCAACTTTTAAACCCAAACATTTACACTAATTTCTTCACTGATAACCCTTTTAACAATTTCAGAGGTTGAGTTGTGTGGTTGGAAAGGTTGAAAAGTGTTTTCCAAAACTTCTGCTTTCTGCTCAAATCTCAGAGTAATCTTTCCACAGGTTGGTTCTGGTCCAAATCCAAGTGCAAAGTGAGAGATCACAATGATCTGAAGGCCTTATAAACGTGACCTCGGCCGGGTCACCGTTCTGTTTCTATGACATTTGATATCATTTGATTTGACATTTGATGTCATAGAAACAGCACGCGCGTGCGAGTGACTGAGACAAAAGACTGACATTATTCAGTTATATTTTCATATTTGTTCATATTTTATTTTTAGGCTACTTGTGTCTTTTGTTTTTCACTTATTTTCATTAGCATCTCTCTCTCTTTTATGTCAGTGTAGCTGCTGCTTCTGTGTAATTACTGCTGCATAAATAACTAAAAACATTATAAATCAAACCATAGCCACCCTTGGCATTATAATGCAGCAAGGGTATAGCCATGGGGTCAACATGGGGGGGAACAAAATCTGCCAGGTCCATCCAGTGTTGACACTAAAATACAATAGCTAAATAAAATGAAATAAAATAGAATTAGCTAATAAATAAATCAAATTAGTCTATATTTTATATTATTTATCAGAGCAAAGTGCAGCTAGCCTTTATGAATATACAATGAATGACAGCTAATGTCTACACAGATTACACATGCAGCACAACATTGATGTACGTGACACTATGACACCCATATTCTAGTTTTCCATTTTATAACACATCTAAAAGTAATGACAGCACAGTGTGACAGTGACTGTACCTACCAGCAGTTCAGTAACGGCTTCTGCTGAGGTATGGCAACACCACTTGGACAATTCACACACAGATCTGCAGCACACTGTAATACCAGAACCAGCAGTAATAATGATAATGATAATTAGTCTACTTTATATTTGATTATAATTACATTTGCTCATGATTATTTTAGACAGCAGTATGGTTGTCTGTTGTTGCATAGCGACATTTTTTGTTATTTTTACTGGAGGGTGGGGGAGGGTTCATACACACTGTGCTAATTGTGGCTATAGCTAAGTGGCTTTATTCTGAAAGACTGATTATTAGTGTGTCCCCTTTAATCACTTTCTGGGCCATGATGAGGAAAAGGACATTAAAGCCTTAAGAAACTAAGAATTATTTTATACCATAAAACCTTTATAAACACAAACACTAAGCAAGTGCAACTTAAGCATTAAATGTTAGATACAAAAAGCCATTAAAAGTCAATACAAGACATATGAAAGTCATCCATGGAAGAAGTCGGTCCTTTACTTAAGTAAAAGTAGCAATACCACACACTCCATTGTAAGTAACAGTATACTGCATTCATCAGTTTTATTGGCTTAATGTACTTTAAGTGTCTGTGTTGGAGTTGACAGTACTGTTTAGACAGCACTACCCCCTACAAACAGGTGTAGATTCTGGGGCTGACATGGGGGGGCACATGCCCCTAAATATTTAGAACAAGTGCACAACCCATATAAAATACAAAATCCCCTTTATCAAATAGGCAAGCCCAGTTTGAGGCAAAAGGGTTACCACCTCATTACTTCTCTATACAGTGGGTTGATTGTTTCTTACACATACAGTCTTGAGCAAGTAAAGCCAATGTCAACAAAATACATTGATAATGAATATGTCCAAATATCATGACAGGTGAGGACATATCCATGTGGTTAGGTTTAGTATTCTTGCTTAAAATATGATGGAGCCACCAGACCACAAAAAATCCTCCAGTGATAATTAAGAGGAGGAAATGCCAGAAAGCACATTAATTTCACTATGCAGTCATTACCATGCACATCCCTACAAGAGGAGAGGAAGAGCAGCCTCAGCTCCTCCCACCACCTTCCACATCCCCTGACAGATGTAGCGGGACTGTAACCTGCCACACAGCCATTCTGTCATGGATACTGTCTGACAATAATACGCTTTGGCAAGAGAGGGCTTATAAAATCTCATTTATTTGGCTAAATTAAGCAAATCTTCATAGCACGTCACATTCCATCTCCACGGTGCGTCTCACGACAGAAGACCATGGAGAGAAAGAGCGGGCAGGAAAATAGAAAAATAGACATTGACTGAACATCATTCCTCAAATAACATTTTGCACACTGACATCTCATTATGTTCTATCATTTTCTCTGTGACGGTAAGGTATTGTCGGGACAGTCGTCTCGCTTTCACCCTTCACAAAACACTATGGGTAATAAATGCAATTATCTCACACTGTGCTGTTTGAATGGGGTTAATATTAGATATTAAGTTACCAATCTAGTCGTATAAATCTCATTTGGTGAGCTCCTAATTGGTAAACAAACAGGTTTAGCAAAATATATGATCAATAAACCCTTCATTAAATTTAACAAATTATGCATCTCATTTCCTATAAGTCAAACATGTTTCAGCAACATCAAATAGATTTTAACTGAATGTCTGACATGGATGGATTTACCTGTTAGGCCGCCTGGGGGAAACCCTCGCTGCTGGGCCCTATTTACCCCCCTTTCTGTGCCACATGCACACTGTTCCTCTGCTCAAATGACTCATGTTCCCAGGTTTGCTGTGTAGTGATATGATTACATGTAATCTAATATGCACCTTATAAGCACAGTATCAGCTGAAATGATGAAAGTCTTGAAGCTAGATCCTGACACAAGGCCCTTCTAAGACAGGGCCTCGAGAGTCAGTAGCACGGCGCCAGTCCATCAGAACCGGTTGTCGCATGGTTGAACAGCTTCAGAACTCAGTGGCCGACAATTTCTGTAACCTTCTGAAACCGACAGTCCAACATTCACCTCCACTTCACACAGTAATTGGCCAGTTGTGCAGAGGTGAGAGGAGCCAGGCTTTCAACTTCTCTCTCTAGATCTCGTTTTTCATTCCTTACACTTCTGTCTCTGTCACTTTTAGTGTGTATCATTGACTCCAACACTGAATGATGACCAGAAGACACAGTTTGGAAGTATGCACAGTTAATCCCATGTTTAAATGATTATGGTTTCTTGCCCCTCTCTGTGATGGCAGGCTTTTCGCTATGTGTTCCAGGGTGGCCATTCAAGTTAGCTTTAATCTTTTTGCCTTCCAATGTGGTGAGACATGAGGTAGGACCTACTTTTTTCCTCAAATAACCCAGCCCTCCAGTCACGTTTTCACCAAACACTTTAGGGTTAAGTTTCACGTTAGGCACTATGATTTGCATTTTCACCCAAGACGGTAGTATAGTGAGTGATGCTGTGTATCAGGGAAGGAGGCGGAAGAGAGCAGGATGTGTGACTGCACATGAGATGAGGAGAGGAAGTGACTGCACCTGTGGGAGAGAGTGTCTTAGACAAAGAAGTATTGAAAGTAGGAGAGTGAGCGGGTGCATGTGTCTCTGGAGAGCGGAGCGTTCGGCGAACGTTACAGGGCAGAAGCCCAGCCGAGCCAGGTGTATTGTGCACTCATAACCGGGGGCGGGTACCGTTCGAAGAAGGTGAAGATAGTTAGTGGGGTCAGGGAGACGTTCCTGCGTGAGGTAGGGTGAGGGGAGAGTTAGCAGGGAATTTGGAGTGCTTTTGTCTGCTCTCCAGCTTGTGAAGGGGCTCTCCTGCTGTCTGTGGGGAGGCCTCACTGCACTGGACCACTGGTTGTCTCCACGCCAGAGTGTGACTTAAGCCGGACCAGCGCCAAAGCTCAGACCCCTGAGCTGCTGCTTTGTTTATAGCTGGTGTAATTTATTGTCAGATGTTATTGATTTTAAAGAGCAGCTAAGAGCCAGAGTACCAGGGTGGGGGCAAACAGTTAAAGGTGCCTAAATAAATCCTGCGGGGTTGCTGCACATGTGCCCTGATAGCACAGGTGTGTTTGTGGTGCAGTATGGTGTGTTGTGCCCTGAGAAGGTTGTTATTCTGGAGTCAATTGCAATGCAGTGTTTGGTTGCAGTGCCCTAAAGGGGTGTAATTCCTCTGTGGTGATCTATATTGGCGTGAGCCCCTGTACACTTGTTTTGGCCAGTGTGAGTGGCACTTTAGGGGGCATAGAGCTCAGGAGATTACTATTTGTGTGCACAGTAGAGATATTCTGTGTGCAGGCTCTCTAAGCCTCACATCTGAGACAAGGTCTATTACAGTACTTTTAAATTTAGGCTGGGTTGTTACAGGATGGTAACAGACACATAACTGCTCCATTCAGCTCCTGCTGTATTTCCTTTTCACTGACAATGCAAAGGAGCATCCGCATTTCACTTATTGTCCATAGATAGAGGCTGTGCCCTGATCTTTTCTGGGAGAAAAAGAGAGACCAGGCTAGTGTGTTAAGATTCTCTGTCACAATCGATGGGGTATTTAAAAATAGTGGGTTTGTGCATTCAATCCTCGTCAAGCAAGAGTGACGATTCTCTTGACCAGTGCACTGTTTCTATCGGACCGGTGCGCTAGGTACCTCAACAGAGGGGTAATAAAAAACAGGATGGAGTGGTTCCATAGAGTGGTACAGGAATGAGTCCTAAAACCAGCAATCATTTTGCATTTTAGCAAGACCTTGTCTTGAAGTCAGCTAGTTTGTTGTTTGTGTTGGCCTACAAACAAATGGCAACTTCTACCATCAACAAACTTTTGACAATGGAAATGCAAAACTAACTGTGGAATGTGTAAAAATCAGAGCTGAACTGAACTGCTTGGTGGAAACAAAGCTTTAGAGTCTTCAGCTACACAAACTTTGTGAGGCTATACTTAGATACAGCGGTTTTAAGCTTAATGCTTAGTGTTCATGATCTTGGTTTAGCAGTTTAGCATGCTAACATTTATCCTGATTGGGACATGATTATCCTTACCAAATTTAATGGCGATCTATCCAATACTTGTGCAGACATTTCATTGAAAACCACAAATGTCAACCTCATGGTCAGCCAGAGGAAGAGTCAGGAGATGACTGAGTCCTTAGAATTCATCCTCTGGGGACCATGGATATTTGTACTAAATTTCATGGAAATCTATGTAACAAACATCCTGAGATATTTCAGCCTGGACCAAAGTAGTGGATTGATGGACAGACATTCCTAGAGCCCTGGCTCAGAAGCAGGATTCCAACTAAAGGCCCTCATTGTGTCAGTTGTACTTTAGTGGTGCATATTCCTAAACAAATGTACATTTGACCATATAACCACATTGCTACACTGCAAATATGTGGCTTTTGGAGGCCCCTGGGGGTCTCAGGGTCTCATACAGCTGCCCTCTTTGTTATGTTGGACACACGATCTACATTGCTGCCATATTCAGTCCACGTAGTAGGCCTTAACAGTTAAATTACAGATCAGTCTACAAATAACGATAGAAAATGTCAAAATATGAGCTGCGAAAGAATCATTGCAAATCATAAACATCACTTCTCTTTGTGGAAGTAAAATGCTAACATCATAACCAAACAGATCTGTGAGAGAAACAAACCTGTTTCATCTTCAGGGTGTGAGCCCTACATAAGGTTTGCCTGGGAGTCTGAGCTGACGTAAGTTAAAGGGCATGTGACAGATAGTGAACATATGTCTGCAGAATAAGTTTTCCAGTCCACAAGGCTCTGCTGCCAAGACAACAGAGGCATCTAGGGTTGTTGCTTAGCCATGGAGCCTCAGTTTGAACTTGGACATGAGGTGTTGACCTGGTGATGGTGTCTTGCTCTGGGCTGTGACATGCTACTGGTGGAGGGCTCATTGGAAAGTGGCTTTAACCCTCTTCATCCTGTCCTGGATCCTCCGTGTTTGCCGCTCACTGGACTGCTGGAAGTTGGCATCGTTGTCGGCGGCCAAGAGGTGGATGTCAGAGGTGGCGAACCGGATGATGCGGCGCCGAAGGTAGGCCTGCAGATCTCGGTCTGGGCTGTAGGGGTAAATAGCCTCTTGGAAGGCATGGACCTGACTCACAACCTTTGCTATGCTCCTTGAGCCAAGGACGAAGGTGTGAGGACGGAGCAACATGAAATAGAATAAAAAACAAAAGGATAAGTGAAAGCATGAAAAGAATGTATATCTAGATGCATATTATATCTAAGTTTCCATCCTGGCAGCATCATCAGCCTATGCTGTGACCTGATTTGGAGAAAGAAGGGATAACCGTGGGTCCACAGTAACCAGCTGTGTCTCTGCCTTTCCCTGCTAGATCTCTTGACCCCGGCATCTGGCTACAGCCAGTCCCCTCTCAGCATCTGGCCCAAAACCTCTTTTCCAATCAAACCCCATCCCACAGGCGCCATCTGGTGCTACACTGGCACCCGTATCAACAACCCAAATCCAACAGCTGTGCCATTACCATCCAACCGCCACTTGTTGTGACCTCAGCATCTGGTCAGCCATATTGAAGTGGAGGAGAAGGACACAGGAAAATGCGTCCTAGTAGCGAGTTGGCCGACTTTGTCATAGATGGATTCTTGGGATGTGGGGAGAGAGCTCATTTGCAGTTAATGGCACTACCTGTTATTATATTGTGTCACTGCAAGGATACGTATCAGGATAATTTCACTGGCAGTAATATAGCACACCTCTAAAAAAATAAAACAGGTGCAAATTCCAGCATGCAGTAAAATCATGCTTGTAATGTTGGAGGAAGGGAGGGGACTGGGCATGTTAGAAACATATTGGTTGCTATGAATAGGTGAAGCAGAGCTAATTAGATGAGCTCCCTTTACAGTTTTGGGATCAGCTAGTCTCGTTATTAGACAAGAGTCATGTTGACGGATCAGAATGTGTTAGTATGTTTTGTGTATAGGCATATTACAGAAAATGAACGTGTGGCATTAAAAACATATGCTAATACAATATTTCTTTGTCCAAAACATGGACTGCCCAGAGGCAACTCATTGGGCTTTTAATGCAGTTAAACTGTTGCACAATGCAGGATTTTCACACAGATTTATATAACTTAATTGTGGAGCATAAAGTTTCTCGGATCCAACCACATCTTTTGCAAGCTTGTTTGATGGAATATTTGTTTTTATACCATCAAATAAATCAAGTTCGGTAAGCTAACATTTGGTCAACTACTAGAGGGCAGCCCTAGTTATCTGGATACAGTTCTTAACATGGAGGTTAAGGCTATAGCAGCTGGCTATAGCTAACTGTACTGGACCATGAACAAACCAGTAAATTTTAACTTGCTGAGCATGCTGTTGACGATCAGTTAGTTATTAGTTTGTGTTACTGTGTGACATTTGTGAATCCAATCTAACCCTTTAAAACGCCAAAGTAACAAAATAAAACAAACTAAGTGATCAGGGACCTGCAGGTCCTTCAGTGGTGTTACATCACTGTTTTTCTCAATGGAGTCTGGCTTTGAAGAGAGCGATATAATGGCTTCAGTTCCCTGTCAGAAATCTCAGTTTGACAGAAATGTAAAGCAGTGAAAATATTCTAAATATAACATACACTTCAACTGATACTTTTATTTGGCTAAAATGTGTTTTGCTGCTAACCCCCATTTGCAGTACTCCTGCTGCTTCTCCAAACTGGAGGCATGCCGACTGACATCTACTGTAGGTAATACACTAAGTACCTCAAAAAACCCCACTTCAAAAATTTGAACCATCCTTTAAGTTCAATAGAAGCTTATTAAACATCTAAAATGATCCAGATCCCCCCTCACCTGAGCTTGGTCCACTTGTAAGCCCCAGTAGTGAGTGTAAAGGCTCCGATCTCCAGCTGCTGGATGTGCATGGCCAGGATGTGCGCTGACGGCAGGGTGGGCCTCCTCCTTGTGTGCTCTCCTCCCATCAGACACAGGTCGTCACTCTTCAGAAACACCTGAGGAGAGAGCAGTTTATCCATACAGTGAAGAATTTAAATTTAGAATGTTTCCAATTAATGCAGTGCTTTTTGTGCTTGACACAGTAATAAGCGTGTCCAATGTAGCGGTTTCATGTGACTGAAAGACTCTAAGAGGATTTTCAATAAATCTAACGTCTTTACATTTCAAAGCCTAGAAAGCATATATGATTCTCTTTATTACAGCTAAATAGGAAAGTTGGCAAGAGAGCAGTGCATGTTGTTTGATGCATCAGGTTCTTCAGAGGGTAACTTTCAGAAGCAGAGCCAGCTGTAAGCTCTCAGCAAACAGGCAAGTTGCTTGAAGCTGTTTTTCTATTGATTTGTTTGCCCTGCAGCCCAGTTTCACAATATGTGACCAGCCTAGCCTTCAGTTACAAACAACATGTGTGTGTGCTTGCTCAAACACACACACATGCACACACCTGCACAGCTCGAAGCTCCTCCAGGATCTCGCACACCTTGGAAGACAGATGTTTCCAAGCCTGTTGGCAAGAAAGGAGGACGTTTTATTTAGTAGCTCCAAAAAGGAAGACTAATTATACCCCTCAATACAAGAGTCAATGAATATAACCTATGGTAATATGGAAATACCTTATACATTCTCAACACTGGTGTCTTTTAATTGTGGATTTTTTAAATTACTCCTATTCTCGGGCCACATTCCTCCTCACTGCGCACACTTTCTACATCATATTTGAATGCATTAATGCAAATTCCTCATTTGTGAAACTAATTAAACACCACCCAATTCTATCACAGCTGAAGAAAACATTTAGCTCGATGGCATCTGATTTATTACAGAAACTCAGAGTTTGTCTGAGGAGGAATTTATGAGATGCAGCCTTACTGGTAATTGCCTGACAATCACGTTCTCCAGGCCTCCGAGGACCTGCATGGCTGTGGCAAAGTTCCTTGACTCGTAGCAGTGTTTTCCTATCCACAGATACTTGGTCAGCAAAGCAACTTGTGTCTGCGAGGGGGAAGAAAATTGAGGAAAAGATGCTTAACAAGCCAAAATGCAAAAACCTAGTAGGTCTTCCCACTGGCGGAGGCCACAGGAGGCTGTATAATGAAGCATGTCCACTGGAAACAAGAACAAGAAAAGTACTGCATGGATCCAAAGTTATTAATGTATTATATGCTGTCCAATGACAATGTGCTGTGTTATGCTGAAAACTGCAGCTGCAAACGTGTCTTAAAATGTTAATTGCATTTGAGGTTTTGAGTATGTGTCGCAGTTTCAATTAAAGCACTGAATCACCTTTTGAAGTGAAGACCTGAAAGCAGCTGAAATCAGTTGAATTGTAATTGTTGAAAGTGTTTGAAATTTTAACTGCAGGTTTAAGCCCTGTAAACAGATAAACTGTCAGCTTGTATGCAAGCACTAAAGTAGTTGAAGGGTGAAAGATGAAAGCAGCTGAACTGTTATGCAGAGTAAAGGTCTTTTCACAGCAGTTATTAATTCACATGTCAGCAAATGATCAAACTGTTGTTTTTGTCATGAGTACTTTAACACAAAACACAAATATTAGGTGGCGAACAACAAGGTTGATTTGTTTTTAGCTTTACCACCACAATGTAAGGCATCAGCCAATCATGTTGAGCCTATGCTTAAGAGTATTAAAACACGAGGGCTTCATAGTCCAAAGCAAAATGGCTAACTTTATTACTTCTTTCAACCTTGACAACTGCAGTGCATACCAGATCCACTCCTTCCAATCTTACCTTTCGCAATAAAAGTCCTCAACATACATGTAACCCCCCTTTACCCTGCCTGTTCAAGATGTGAATATCACGGCCATTAAGCCACCTTGCTGGGTTGTATATAAGGTAGGACTGCTGATAGTGGTCTCGCCTTTAATCTGCCATGGGATGTAGTAACAGTGCTGAAACGGTGTTTGTATAAACAGGACAGTCTACGGGACGGGATCATGGGTGGCATGCTCCACCACGGGAGATTTAAAAAGTAGCAATTAGCAGCTAACTCAAAGAAGACAAATATTGGTTGTAAATGTCTGCAAATGGGGAAAACAGTGAGATGCTCCTTACCCTTCGAGAAGAGGACCTGATCAGCTGCCATATAACTGGGACGCTATATGTTGTTGACACTTTAATGCTATTGTTGTTGTTTAGTAAGTGCTGCCGATGCGTTATGTGTCACACAAGAGGTCGATGTGTGACATGTCACGACCGTTACACCTCTTTTGATTCTGCAAAGCCGCAATGCAGTGTATACTCAACCGGCTGCACCGCTCAGTAGGATCCCAGTAGTTGTTGCAAAGTCATGTTATTTATGTTATTTGTTATTTATTCATTTCACCCCTGGTGTGTAAAGACCTTAAGAGGTGAAAGCAGCTGAACTGTCAGCTTGTGATGAAAGGAGTTGAATTGTCATTTAAAGAGTAAAAGGTGAAAGCAGTAAAAATGTCATTTGGAATTTAATGTGAGGTTGAAGCACCAGAGATAGGTACACTGAATATAGCTGAAGTGTGAGTTGGAGTGTTTGGGCTGTCATGTCAGTATGAAAAATATCTGTATGGATGCACAGATGTCTTTAAGAAATCTAATCAATTTTCATTTAGTTTCTCATCTTTTTGTAAGAGGATGACTGTTTATGAAGCCTAAAAACATTTTATAAAGAACTGTTTCAGGTTTTAGACCCACATTCTCTTGTTCCTAAACCATTCAACCATGAGACAAGAGAGGCAACAGGAAGCACATATGTGTGACTGACACGAGAGTCCGTGTCCGATGAGAAATCAAATCACAGACAGTGACAGTAATGGCTGCCTCTTTTTTCTCCAGCTGACCCTGTTACCTTCATGTCTCCTCTCACCTTGACAGAGTCACAGATGACTATTTCAGCAGAGATCCAGTTAGCAACACTGTCAGCATATGTCAGCAGCTGCTGAAGGTAGCTGTCTGATGGTGTCTCCTCACACACAAGTAGACTGCTGCCCTCTGCTGGCGGGATATGCTGAGACACATTCCTGGAGGGGGGAAACCAAGAGATGTCGGAAAATCTATACCTGAAATGATTCCTGAAAAAGTAATAAATTGATTTGTTAATTACCATACAATTATCTGACAGAAATTTGGATAACTGATTAATTGGTTTAGTTAATCATTGAGGAAAAATGCCAAGCATTTGATGGTTGAAGATTGACATGTGAGGTATTTTTCTTTTCTTTTCTTTCTTTATATGTCTCAGTTTTGAACTGTTGGTTGAGAAAAAAGCACTCTAAAGATGTCACCTTAGGCTTTTGGATTTGTGGTAGGTATTTTTTCTATTTTTTTGTTTACCAGATAACCGCCAACATTTTCAACATATTTCTATGCTACTAATTATAGAATTCAAAATATTTCACCACACAATGGAATCAATACAGTATGTTTTCAATATGTTTAGTTTAGTTGTTTTTTGTTTTTTTTTCCCATTTATCAATTTAGATTGTTTTGCCAAGTGTTGGAGATATCGGCCTTAATGATGTCTGCCTTCTCTCAAATATTTAAGTGGAAGTCACTGGGCTTGTGGTGCTCAAAGCACCAAAAATACATTTGAAAAACCTAAACAGTAATGTCTCTCTCCAGAAATCATGACCCGGTTACTTAAGATAATCCACAGACCTTGTTGTGAGCAGTTTCATGTAGGAACTATTTTCTTTTTACCAAACTACACCCACAAACCGTATCACTGTGCACAAGGAAGTGGACCTCAACTGCTATTCACCTAGCACCACAAAGCTAGCTAACCTTACAGCTCAGCCAAGGAAGTAATATTTACATCTCGCACTTGCTCAATAGGGGTGGGAATCACCAGAGGATCCACGATACCTATCATCATGATATTTTAGTCACAATACAATATTAATGTGATTTTAAACATGTTGTGATATGCTGATTATTGCGATAAAATACATTGCAATATAATGCGATTTATTACTTGTTTTTAACAGAAAATAATGTCCCTAAAGGAAAATTTTGTCAACATCTGTATTATCTAAAAAGATTTAGTTTTCAGTCTGTTCATCTCACTTCAGTCATTTTTTGCAGCAAAATGTATATGGTGGACTGAAAAAGCAACTGATTCCATTATTCAAGTGTGCTACTTATTCAAGTTTAATTTGTATTTGCAATATCAATGATTCATATAATCAAAAAATTGACACTTGGCACTGTGTGACGATACGATATTGCCCACAAAAATATGGGGTGACCCCGAATAGTCGATGATTCGGTGATTCGATTCGGAGAAGTCTGATTCGACTGCCAGTCTCACCGTCGAATCGTCGCAAAATGTGGTTATGAAACAAGACCGTACCATTCTGACTATATGGGGGTGCTCACTGCTGCTGAACATCTTGATTTGACATAGAATGTATTTGTTTTATAGTAATTCATGATATATAGCCTATTTTGATGCAAAAATCAGACTAATTTCTGTTAATAAAAAATTGAAAATGACACGTGCGTTTAATCAGTAGGCATAATCATTACTACGCATGAATAAATCACCCAGTTGCTCAATCCAAATAAGCTGAGGTGAGTGAGTGCACTGCAGGACCATCAGAGCAGTATTGAGGCCTACGGTACACTCGTTACCTCCGTCAGTCACCTGGTTGCAGACTTTTCTTATAGCAGCCTAATGAGTGAGATAAGGAAAAGGACGGATGGAGATGAGAATGTCCTATTATTCGTTTACCTGAAGTGTCTTGAAACGAATTTCACCGCTGATTGTTTTCTTGACAGACTCTGGTTTTTTATTTGGCTACTTTGTGTGGTGGAGCGCATAAACAAACACTTTGGAGGAGGTATGTGCTCTCAAATCAAACTTTTTTGAAGGATTATTCATTTACCTGAAGTATCTTGAAACTAATTTCACCGCTGATTGTTTTCTTGATAGACTCTGATTTTTTATTTGGCTACTTTGTGTCCGACGTGGCCAAACAACTGAGAGCGGTGACACACAGTCCGTGTGGATGAACTTGTATGAACCTGAGTTGATTAATGAAGTAACTTGAAGTCAGAAAGAAGGAAAACTGTTTCTAAACCTTTTGATGACGTTTTTGGATGTTTATTTGTGAATGAAAATGTCACAAAAACAACCCCTTGATGTTTGTTATGATTTCCCAAAACTTAGTTAACATTTCTCACCTGTGTGCTGGATGTATGGGCTCCAGCAGATTGACCCGACTGACCGGACGCCATCATCGCAAGCAAAACGGACACTACGCTGCATTCACAGTGCTATGTGGAAATCGGACATATCAGCACTTAAAATGGCTGTTGAACTGCAAAATCTGCCATAATTTATCGCTCTCATACCGCAATTGGTGCTCAGTACTGTCTAAAACAGATTTCTGAATGGAAGTTTGTCACTGGCATCAATTTTTACACTGCCAATCACATGAATATGATGTATATAAGTGTTGAGTCAGAATTTTTTTAGTTCCTACATTCCCTGAAGGCACTGTCACTCATGATTCCACACCCCTCTCAGTTGACGCCACGCCCCCCACGCCACATCAGGGTCAAAAGTCTGAAACTGAAAAAAAAAGATTTGAAACTGAAAAAAGAGATCTGAAACTGGAAAAAAGATTTGAAAGTGAAAAAATAAGATTTGAAACTGTAAAAAATAAGATCTGAATCTGAAAAGATAAAAGATGCAACTGAAAAAATAAGACCTCAAATGTTAAAATATATGGAAGTGAAAAGTGAAAATAAATTATTCATTCAAAAGAATTACAAAAGTGAATCAAAATTATATTTAACCTGAGAAAACGTTTCATACGCTTATTTTTATTTTGAATACATTGTTGTATTTTTCAAAATTCAAGATCAACATATGAATTTTCAGTTTCAAATTTTATTTTTTCAAGTACAAAACTTTTGACCCTAATGTAGCTCCATACGTCTAGAGCATCATACCTTGATGAAGTGAAAGGAATAAAGATAAAGATAAAATGATAACCCTTTTACTTTTATTACTATTATCTTATTATGCCAACTGAAGAATTAAATTTGTTTATTTTGGTGTTTTAGCTCTTTTCTCTGGAGTGGAAACTGACGCAAATGAGCTCATTAATCAATGACAGGGAAAACAACATGATTCGACGATTAGTCGGCTAAAGGAAAAATCTGTCAAATCAGATTCGACTATGAACATTCTTAGTCGGGGACACCCCTATTACACTGTATCGTTTCTTTGCTAAAGCACTAGCCTCTCATCAACAAGTAGATGCATGCTTCCTTCTGCGCTCGAGCTAAATACTCACTTCAGCACTTCTGCCCTCTGATAATATACATAAGTAGGTGACAAATCACAGGAACAAACAGAATAAATCAGTGGAGAAACATAAGCAGTGTTGCATACAGGAGACAAGAGCCTCAGTAATCCACAAAAGATTTTTAGAGTCAATGTCAAACAACCAAATGAGGGAATATTTTTTGGGGGGGCTCAAAAGATCTGTGTCAAGGAGCCCTGAACACCTCACTAATATACTTTCTGTTTTTTCTTGAATTTGTCACCAATCTGTACGTAAACAGAGTGTAAACCTGGAGCATCACACTTACTTGTTCGGTGCAGAGACCTTGTCCCTGACTCCTTGTGTTCTGGAGTTGAGGAAATGAACCGGGTGACAACCTTGGAACATTTGCTGTGTTACAAAAGATCTAACTTTAGTATCAGATCAAAAGTTTCCTGTATTCATCTGCATCTTACTTTGCATTCATTAAGGCATGTCTCCCTCTAGTGGTAAAAAGAGACAACAACACTTAGATGTGGGAGTGGACGTGTGTACCTGCTGCAGGAGGGTGAGCTGCTGGCTTATGTGCTGTGCGCTGTATTCATTCTGGCTGAAGGGCACTCGCTCTTCGCTGTGCAGGCAGACGTTGGAGAGGTCATCCACCAGGGAGCCGTAGCAAGGCATAGGCAGTGCTGAGGCGATGGAGAAGGCCCTTTCTTTAGGCAGGGGTGCAGAGGGCTCCACTACTCTCGGGAATCTCCACTGAAGAGATGAGAAAGTTATTTGACAAGAGAGGATTCATGTGTTGAATTATGTAAATGCACTGACAGTACAGCAACAGGGGAAGGAATGCTGTTTTGTATTGCATGCAGGGTGCTCTTGTTCAACAGCAGCGAGACAGGAGAATCAATAAATTAGATTTATATTTAAGTTTACTGTCACCAGAAGTCAGACTGCAACAGATCATCTCTGAATAAAAAAAATGGTTTTCTATATTTGCCCTGATTAAATTTAGTTGTCACATACAGATTTTGTTATGCATGTGTGTTGTCACCAACCAAAGTAAAAGCTTGCTCCAGAAAATCTCAGCAAGGGCCGAACCTGCCACTACTTGGTAGCATCAAATGGCAATATTAATTTGCATTGTAATTGATTACTATATAAAACCTTAAAAGACTGGGGAGAGCAGAGTTCGTCTTTAGATTACTTTTATTATTTTGATGACAGGAGAGTATTTGCAAACTTGTCACCATTTTAAAATTACCTTTCTCCCAAGATCCTCAGTAGATGAATGCAAACACATAGAATCATCATCTTCATCAAAGCTGGTTAGGCTTCCTCTTCCTTGGCTCCACGTCGTACAAGGAGGGTTGTGGAGAGCAGCAAGGAGGGCCTCACCTCGACAATCAACAGGAATCACCTGTGATTGAAAAAAAAAGGGAAATACAGAACATAAATAGTGTTTGATCGTCTCCAAGAGGCAAAAATAAAGCCAACACACAAGTATAAAACCTGCAGGTCTTCAAGCACTTGAGGCTGAGTCCAAAAAGCATGTTTGGCCTCTATAGATAATTTTCCCATTTAACTGTACAGGCAAGAGTTTTCATGTAACTCACCATTTAAATGCTATGCATAGTTAAAGGCGTAGCCGCCTTGAGTGACAGGCATGCTCCCAGGAACACCGCTTAGCCTTGCATCCAGTTGTTCCCAGTGGCCACTTGCATTATTGTAGCAATAAAAATCCCCTGCGGCCAAAATAGCATTTTCCCCATAAACCACACTTATAAAAGAGACGCATGTAAAAGTGTCGACAGGAAACCTCCAACTGCGAACACAGTAATTATGAGTCTTTTTATTATGACTATTTGGCAAAATTGAGGTTTTATATTTATTAAGCTTTCCTCAAGCTGAAAATCCATGACCTTATCAAAATTTAAAGTCTATGAGCCGAACTGGAACTAGTGAGCGAGACCATTGGGAAAAACACTGCTGGGCATATTCTGTGCAGAAGTTAACCCAGGAGCAAGAAACAGTCTTTGGTGCATGCGCCTGGCAAGCAATTCCATTGGATTAAACAATCTATGTCTTGGGGTCTGGTATCCAGGAGGATGATGCCGTCCGTTGACAAGTCACTACTGTTTAGCTGTTAAGCTATTTCAGTGTCTTTTCAGTTCATAAAAGTTAATGTCTTGTTCAGTATTTGGTTTTGCTAAAAAAAAAAAACTTTAAGACTCAAATGTTCAGTCAAGTGCATGTTTTAATGGGTTTAAGTCTGTTTTTGCTATGAAAATTAGCATTAGCATTATCACAGTTTACCGGAGGTGTAAATGCACTGTGCTAACCACGTGAACAGCTAGTATTAGGGTTAGCTTCACCCTCTTGTCCAAATATGGTCACTTCTGGCTCCAAAATCCAAGATGGCTAAAATGAAGGCTTGAGAACGGGAATCTCCAAACCAATTGGTGACATCATGGTGACTATGCCCATTATTTTTATACAGTATGTGAACAGCTTTAACTGCATCTTATAGCAAATACATGTCTTAACCGATGCTGCTTGCTCTTCTCTATTGTATAGTAAGATGGTGATGTGAGCTGTATGCCTCATTAAAATTTTGACTTTGGCTCCTTTTAACACCCAGTGTCCGATGGTCTTATCACCTGTAAAATATGCTTACACACAGTAAGTTTGATGCTTCCATCAGCAGAAAGATTAAAGTTAACAGAATATGGACAGTGTTGGTGCAATGGACAGAAACAGCCCCCTTCAGGAACACATTTTAAGGTGTGTTCACACCGGACTTTTTATTTTTTTCACTGTCACTTGGTTCGCCTCTTTGATATCACTTCATCGCTCAGTTGCAATCGCTCGTCAATGTGGCAGAAATCAACAGACTCACTTTTTCGCTTTGATGACATCATTGAAGCGATCAGGGAATTTCAGGGGGGGGTGCTTGACTGTCATGACATGTCAGCTTCATTAAAAGTATAGCTGCAAATTAAAAGCAACAATAGATGTAAAAACACACAGAGACAACACATCTGTGATCAGTTCCCTAATTTAATTTTAACAATTTTTTCAATCTTCTCCAATTTCTCGTTTTATTTTATGGAAGTGATCAATGTAAGTGCACTTGTCCTAGAGCTGCCACGACAGTTTTATAATGCAAATAACTCTGTTTAGATAAAACCTACAAGCTTTTCTTCCTATGACTTTTACTAAAAATGTGTCTTGTATGTTTTCTGAAGCCTTTAAGTTACAAAAATGAAACACACTACACTTCTGAGCATTTATACCTCCGACCGCGGGAGACCACTGCTGAAAATTATACATTTTGATACATACAGGTAGGCTATACATATTGCAAAACTCTGTAAAAGTACACCAAAGCATACATTTTCGTTTCCAAATATTTATTTGAAAACAAAACCATTCATATGGTCAATAAAAAAACATTTTGTCAATAATAAAAAACGAATCTCAACAGTGACCGCGCCAGCCAGCAGGACTGCGGCTGAACCGCATCCAATGTTCATTCATTCAGTCGCATGTCCAGTGTGTGTGTGTGTGTGTGTGTGTGTGTGTGTGTGTCAGAGAGGAGGAGTATCAATAAAAAAAGGTTTCCACTAATTATTTCGGTGTTTATTTCTTTTATTCTTAATTTTTTTTTTTATTAAAATGCGTGATATAGCCAACAATATTATAGACCAAAAGTCTAATTTATTATTGTAGAATGTATTTAGCAAATCGCCATTTTCAGCTGGAGACACAGTGCAGCAGCAGCGCAGCAGCCAAAAAAAAAAAAAAAAAGCCATTATAAAAAGCCGACAAATAGTGTTAATTAACTGACATGAGACATTGGAGAGGTTGTCAGTCCTATTCTATAGTCTGTAATATTTTTTTTATTTTATCATAACTTCTTGGAAATTACTCAAATGCATTTTTGGTGTGCTTCTGAGCACACAGGCAGCATAAACAATGAAGTTATGTTGCGGCGCTTGGAGGGGCGCTGTAATCCTGGCGGTCCTGTGTTAAGCACCACGGACAGTGCCAATGCATCTATCGCTGTAGCGCAGAGGCTCTGATGCCTGAGTCAGAGCATGTTAGCGGAGTTGGAGCTGCCTGGAGCGAGGAGCGGGTGGATTTTGTATGTATGTGCCAAAATAGGTTAAAAAAATATCATAATTTCTTTGTCTTTTGTGTAATAAAATATTTGGAAACGAAAACGTATGCTTTGGTGTACTTTTACAGAGTTTTGCAATATGTATAGCCTACCTGTATGTATCAAAATGTATAATTTTCAGCAGCGCTCTGCCGCGGTCGGAGGTATAAATGCTTCTAATTTGTAGCTATACTTTTAATGAAGCTGACATGTCATGACAGTCAAGCACCCACCCGGGATTCCGGGATTACGGCAGCCAATCAGCGTTGAGCTGCAAGTGACAGGACCCAGCGAAATACCGCTCCAGATGAGATTTCTCATCTCGAGCAACGAGCGAAAAATCGCTCTGTCGCTGTTGCTTGGAGCCTGAGCGATTTTTCTCCCGGGCAAATATACGCTCAATCGCCCATTTGCATTGACTTTGTATGTAAACTCGTCGCTAGCAAAAAAAAAACAGGTCCGGTGTGAACACAGCTTTAGACAGAAAATACTGTGTGTCACAGCACAGCCATTTGACTGACAAGTCATATCCGTCAAGTGCAGAGCAAAGTGTAGGCTTATGTGGTTACCTCAGTATTAAGGAAGTTTTCTAACGTATCCACAATGCTGGACTTAGGTGTGAAGTCCACCTGTTTACAGTCCGTTATCCACAACTGGAGCAGGTCCAAGCTGCGATGGAAGATCTTTTCACTGTCTCCTGACAGGTCTGGACCTTGTCTGGCATGGAAAACAAACATATCCATAATACAATCTGTGCAAGATCTGTGTGTGATTGTGTTTTGTAGTTGACAGGTGAGGCTGGACTGGAGATTCTCATGGGTTCGCTTGACATACTGTTCTATATGCTGTTTCTCTACTGCGTGTAATCATGATCTTCTGGGTAGGGATGTCCCGATCCAGCTTTTTCACTTCCGATCCGATACCGATATTACAGCCTTGAGTTTTGGCCGATACGGATACCGATCCGATCCAAGCACGTATTATACATATTCACTTATTTTGTTGTCAGTCATGTTAGAAAAGGTTTGATCAAGCAAAGAACAACTACTTAATCAGGTTAGTTAGAATGATCCACAACAGTTGGTATGAGAAAAATATAGCTGGTTTGCTTTGGCTGCTTTGGCCCCTTAATAAATAGAAAATGAATCAACACAAGAAATCTTTAAAATGTCTAACAATGAAATTAAAATAGCAGCAAGACTCCACACACTTGTGCTTTGCCCCCTAATAAATAAAAAATAGAGTAACACCACAAGACATTGTTGGCATTTAACAAACAATACAGCCTTTCCTTTTCAGTTATTTTAGTAGTGTTTTTGTAGTCCATCCATGGCTCCAATTTCACTAATTGTGCCTAAAACAACGCCATCAGTGCTCTTTACTTAAACAGTAAGAGTGTAAACGAAATAAAAATATCACTCTCAAAAAACCAGAGCAGAAAACAAATAGTCAGTTAACTAAATTGACCGCTACTCTTCCTACCCTCTGTGTATCTGCTGTCTGCATGCTGGCCTGGTGGATTGATAGTGAGAGCTGGAGCGGATCACTGGAATGGACTGCTTGAATAGCGGGGCGCTGGGCTGGCCGGAAAACCTGGCACGGATTCCATGAAAAACTGGATCGGAGTTCATGGATCGGCATTTTTCCATGCAGTCCGATCCAATACCGATGCCCGTGTTTTGCTAATATCGGCGGCCGATACATCCCTACTTCTGGGTATACAGTACCTTGCAGCACTGATGAATTTATCCATGATGAACTGCAGTAGCTGCTCAGGAGTGCAGAAGAAACGATAGGTATACAGGAACTGCTGGATGTAGCCCTCCACTGCAGCATTTCTGTGACAAAAACACAGAAATAAATTTAGATAATCGCCTTTTCTATCCAGGTCCTTATCCTGGTCAACCCTAATATTCCCAACATATTCCCTCAGCTCCCTCTGGAGGGACCCTTTAAGCACTCTCACACCATGTGGAAGATGTAATACCTTCTGCTTGTCTGGCCCATGGTCTCCTCCCATTTAGCTGGGCCCAGAACATTTTCAAAAAGAGATGTCACTGGGGAATCCTCAGTAGGTGCCCTGAATTACTTTAAATGGCTCCTTTCAGTGTGAGTTGTACCCTACAACCATCCCCACGCCCACCCCACTACAGTGTTAGTTGTAGTCGGTATCATGTGAGCTGCCAGACAAAGGGGTATTCATAAAGATCAACAAAGTCAGAGAATCTTCAACAAAAATCAAAGTTTATACATAATAATCATAAATTGTGATTCAATTTCTATAATAATGTCATGATACAAAAAGCCAGATAAATTGCTGCATTATAATGATGCACTACTCCAACAATCATCTATAATTTATTGATAGAGATATGATACTAATGCCTTTTTGATCTTTCAGTGAATGAATCGAGAAACTGTAAAAGAGAGGGGAATAAAAATAGGATTTTGAAAAGTGAGGTGGACATGACCCTCCAATCCTCAGAGGATAGTTTACTTCTTACTGTAAATGATTCTGTAGTTTGACTGAAATGCTAACACATTTACTAAGCTGTTAAATAGGCCACATTTGAGGACATTAACTGAAAACAAGCCTTATCGCTGCCTTTAAAAGTAAATAAAAAGAGCTTCAGCTTGAGGCAGTGGAATTAAGTGGCTAAAAAAAAGTTATGATGGATTATGTCCCTGTTTCTCTGGTTGTTGATGTGGTTCCCCTGGAAACCGACACCAAACAGATGCTGAAATGTCACACTTCAGAACAACAGTGATAGTGTCTTTGTTTACAGATCAGATTAGAATTGGGGATGGCATTCTCAGCTGCTGCTGACGTACATATGGATATATTAAAGACTAAGGATGGTGATATTCTGAATTTTTCTCATTACAAAACCAATAAACTACAGAAAGCTACTGTGCCCTTTTAAAAATGAGAATGAAAATGAGATTTAATTCTTTAGTGGGAATGAGTGGATTTGGGGAGGAGTTGGAAGTCATTGTGTTGCCACTTGTTTTTTTCATGAGATTTCTTGACAATAAGAACAAAATAGATTAAAGCCAGCTTTATCCTTCAGCGTTTAATTAACAGGACTGAGAGGCTACAGCCATGATAGCAGCTCTGTGAAGGGGTACTTTGGCACAGCGGTTCTTTGAGCTAAATGCTAACTTCAGCAATAGGTACTCATAATGACAATGCATTAGTTTTGACAGTATTTGGTATTATTTTTTGGTCATAAACCAAAACCAAAAGTCAAATGTTAACCTGCTGGTAGGGGTAGATAGAAAGTCAGGGGAACACCAAAGTCGGTAGGATTCATCCTCTGGGGACCATGAATGTTCAAAATTTCATGGCAATGCTTCAAATACTTATTAAGCTATTAGAGCCATTAGACATCAGAGCTACCAGCTATGTATGGCTGCGAAACTAGCTGTAATTCAAGTCCTAATTTTTAGAAGAATATGTCTGTTGAACGAACATTTATATCAGTCGCTTGCTGTAATTTGATAATTGTCTGATCAATGAAATCCTTTCATTGGGGCTAGAGGGACCTGCCCATTTTTCCGATGGTCCATTATCCCAAAAACCAAACAGAAAAACAGGACACTATGGGGGTTTGGAATAATGGTCTGTTGGAATACTGGCATAGCACCTTGTTGGATGGATCAAAAACAGCAGGGAGGGTAAATTATAGAATAGACAAAACGAATCACACAGGCTACACAACACTTTGAGAGACTACAGTTCATTCAACCTCATGATTTGACGAGAGGAAAGCGAGGCTAACACATTTCAAATTTATACCCTCATCAATAATACCTGGAGTAGAGGTAAGCCATGAGGCCCAGAGGAGACCCAGCTTGCAGAGTGCTCTTCCCTTTACATGTACCGAAGCTCAGAACAGACGGGTCCTCAGAGGTCTGGAAGTCCAAAGAGCCAGGTCCACAGACCGCCAAAGAAGACAGTAAAGACACCTCCAAACCCCACTGGTCTACACTCAGAATCTGCAGAAATACAAGAAATCATATCAAAGCATAGAAGAGCCAGGTTGTTCGGAAATGAAAAACAGCACTGTTGCTACAGTACCTCAAGGTACTTCTTCACACAATCCAAGAAGACCACTTTGGATCTGAGTTCTTCAAGCTGGGACTTGAGCTTGGATAGCATCAGTTTGTTGTCAGAACCTTTGGGAAACAAATGCCATTTTATAGATCACACTGGAAACTACACATGTAATTTCTGTATACTAGCAGTGTTATAAAATGGCTACCCAACCTTTGTTTTTTCTCTCTTGTTGAAGCAGCTTCTGGTAGAAATTTCTCGTTTTCTTTAGATTCCTTGTTTCAATCATCAGCTGCTGCTGCAGTTCCTGTTCAAAGGAAATCACGCAAAATCACACAAAAGGCCCTAAAATAACACCACATGCCTCTCACTGAAAGGACCCTTTGGGTGTTTCCAGTGCGTACGAAGCAGCGTTTTCTTTTTTTTTTCCTCTCTCTTTCTCTCTTCACCCTGGCAACACAACGCAACAGCTCTTTTGAAGTGAAGTGAGTGAGAAGGGCAGCAGCATACCACTTAAGGTGTGTTATTAGCTGTTACACAAATGTTGTGAAGAAGCAGTGGTACATCAAAGTGTGCAAACACAAAGACTATTCATTAATATTCTTTTCCAAATGATAATAACTTCCTTTGCCAAGGGCCGAGTTCAACATATTAATATTCAGATCCAGTTTGGAGAGAATAATATGCCAATTATCTTAAAGTCCCCAACATGTTCTCGTACTATTTACCCCAAAGCCTGACCGTGTCCCACTTCATTACAGATAGGAAAATAATTCCTGCACTTATTCATAAAACCCAACACTGTTAGGGGGCTGAATGAAACTAGGAAGTGAAGCTGCATTCAATAAGCACTTGTGTAATGTAACATAATAATATGGATAAAATGCAGACAGACTGGAAATGAAAAATGAAATGGAAAGGTCCAATGTAGGATTTAGGGGAGTATACTGGCAGAAATGGAATATAATATAATCAATATGTTTTTTTTTAGTCTATAAGCACCTGAAAATGAGAATCGATTTGCTTTCGTTACCTTAGAATGAGCCATTTATATCTAAATACAGAGCAGGTCCTCATCTATAGAGATCACCATGTTGCACTGCCATGTTTCTACAGTGGCCCAGAATGGACAAACTAAACACTGGCTCTAGATGGGGCCATTCGCATTTTCGCAGCAGCCAACGTTGTTAGACGCCCATCCACAACGAGCACTGTTTTGTAACAAGCAGCTTACGGTAAAAACCTCTTGAACTTCTGGGTCCCAAAAAAAAAAACAACCAACAACAACATAACATTAAGTTGTCAGTCAGATATAAAGGTGAACACAGACTAGCCCCATTAGATTAGGCTAATGGGGCTAGAGAGGCCTTTGCGGATAATTCGGCTCCCAGTAAAAACCTACTGAACGATAAACAGTAAAGGGATTCTACATTCTGCAATCCTCACCACTAGATGTCACTAAATCACCCTAAATCTTACACAGTGCTCATTTAAATACATCATTGATTTATTTAATCTGAAGTTTATAAACATAAATTAATGACACACAAAGAAATAAATTCAGGGAATATTTTGATGGACATATACCAATTTTACCAATAATACCTTTTTTTTGTAAGTGAAAACCTAAAACTACCACCAAATGATATCAGAATAAGAATATCAGCTTTTGCATCAACATACTCTCCCTCCTTATTATTGCAGCACACATTACATACAAACACATGTACTTTATGATGCATATGTCACTGTGTTAGTGTAATATAATCTGATAAATAAAGCATGCCATCTGCTGTTTGTTCAAACACACAGGGTTAAGGTCAAATATGACTCACTGGCAGTGAGCACTCACCTGTGTTTTCCCATCCAGACATGGTGATCCTGTGTGCTGCCCCAGATTCACTGCATACTGGATCACCTCTGGACTGAAACATTCTTCTCCAAAGAAGGCCAAGGCCCAGGCTGGGCTGCAGCTGAGCCCCGGCCCCTCTGCTTTGGATGAGGGTGAGAGAAGTCGCTCCGACACCAGAGAGTCGCTATCCTCCATATCCACCTAGCAGTCGGGGCTCATCTGTTCGTCGTGGGCTTCCGTCAGCCCTTCGTCTCTCCCCGATAAAAACTCAGCTTCAGAGGGGCTTTCATCGCTGCCCCCCGCTGAATGATCTCCTCCCTCCATGACCCCCGCTTCCGAACTGTCAGTGCTCACGCCTCGACCAGTAAACAGGGGCAGTGGAGACAGAGTGGGAAGAGAAGAGAAAGAGAGAGGGACTGAATCACATGTCGAACAAACTGGATTTGTAAAGAAATAACACCACCAGATATCCAAGGGTGGTGCTGGGGGTATTTGCTGCTAACCCCGTCATGACCAAACAATACGCCCACTGTTAAAGAGAAAAAGCTTAAAGGCAATTTAAGTTTAATTTCTAAGTATTGCCACCTCTTTATCTCAAGTATCATGTAAGAGCCAGTGTGTAATCAAGACCACATGTCCAGCATAATTCAATAGCACAACAAAAGCAGATGCAAGGGTGTGTTTGTGAATGTCACTGGCCAGGAATGAGTCCCAGAGAAGAAAAGACTCTTTAGAGTTAGCTAGCATGCCTTGGACTCTTATGAATGTGCTTCAGTCTTAAGAACCGCATCCAACAGCCAGTCACAGCTCTCATGACCTCAGTCAGCAGCCAGATCAAGTGAAACATATCAAAACATCACACATGGGTTGGTTCAATAGTATTTTTTCCAAAGCTGAAACCAGTATTTACTCTAATTATCACATGAAAATCCTCAAGAAATCCCCATCCCTAGATCCCCTTAGTGAATCTATTTTGGCAGTTGGCTTGAGGAAGAGACACTTTCTTAGCAAAAAAAAAAAAAAAAAAAAAAAAAAAAAGTGTTTAGATTCTGCTCAGTGCAGCAGTGGTGGAGTGTCACTAAGTATGTTTACTGTAGGTACAAATTTGATGTACTTGATTGAGTAGAGCAGGGGTAGGCAACCTGTGGCTCCAGAGCTGCATGTGGCTCTTTAGCCAATGCGTAGCATATACCCCGACTAAAAAAAAAAAAAAGTTTTATCATTATGTCAACTAAAATGTGCGTCATACGTCTGGCCTGGTGCCTTTTCCCCTATAAACATCAGCAGTCTTGAGTCTTCCTAGCTGGGCTAGCTGTGGATTTCCAAACCCACAATGGAAAAAGTCACAGGGGAAAATAGATAATCTAAATCTAAGCAAAAATGGCTCTTTTGATAGTAAAGGTTGCCGACCCCTGGAGTAGGAGGATCAAAAAGACTGAAATTGAAATGCTACACTACAATTCAGGGAAAATATTGTACTTTTTACAGTGTTAAATTCATATGACAGCTTTACCACCTTTTTTTTTTTTTTAACAGATAAAGTATACAAAACAGATGACCGATTTATAATACAGTGGTGGAAAAAAGTTTTCGGACACCCCATGCATTTGTGAAATATTGCATTAAGAATCACTCTTAGGTCTTCAAGTGCAATTTCTTTTAGTACAGTCACAGCCAAAATACTAAATAAATCCTAAAAAAGCCATTAAAAACTTAAAATTGATTGGTTCCATAAAAATACATAAGAAATTTTGAGTATTGGGTCATTTTGGTACCAGTGATGAAGGTCGTTCTTTTTATTAAAAGACACAATTTTTGTTGCCAAGCTTCGTGTCTACATAAAGCCAGCACATCTGAAAGTTCTTCAGACACAAAAATGGCTAAAACAAGGAACCTAACGCAGGAAACACGCCTGAAGATAAAGATTCTCAGCCAGGAAGGGTACAGCTGCCGCCAGATAGCCAGGAAGTGCAGATGCAGTCCTTCAGCAGTTGGATACACTCTGCAGAAATACAGACGAACCAACAGCTTGGAAGACCAACCAAGATCTGGGCGTCCAAGGGTTTCTTCAGCAAGAAATGACCGCATCCTGATCCGCATGTGCAGGCAAAACCGCCGAATGACATCACAGGAGCTTCAGCAGCAGTGGTCAAACCAAACTGGTGTCCAGTGTTCCACCCGCACTGTACGTGGCCGACTTTTAGATCATGGCTTAAGGTCCTACAAGGCTATCAAGAAGCCCCTGATCAATGAGAGACAGAGGTTAGCCCGGCGTCGTTGGGCCCAGGCACACAAGAACTGGACAGCCAGGAATTGGAAGAAGATTTTGTGGTCAGATGAGTCCTGTTTCCATCTTTATCTTCCTCCTACCAATGTGAGGGTACGCAGAAGGCCAGGCGAAGCATTATCTCCAGCATGTACAGTACCTACTGTCAAGCATGGTGGAGGCAGTATCATGGTTTGGGGATGCATGAGTGCTGCTGGTGTTGGTCATCTCACTGTCTGTGATGGCACATTGAACTCTACCAAATATTGTACCATTCTCGAAACCCACATGCTCCCTTCTGCGCGTGCACTGTTCCGTCGAGGTAAAAACTGGATGTTTCAACAAGATAATGCCCCTTGCCACACATCCAAGGCCAGTAGAACTTGGCTGCAGGAGCACAGTATCCAGGTCTTAGAGTGGCCAGCTCAATCCCCGGACATGAGCCCCATTGAAAATCTGTGGTGGATTATCAAAAGGTCTGTTTCAAAGCATAAACCAAAGATTTTAGAAGAATTAAAAGCAGTAATTCAAGAAGAATGGGACAAGATTACCCCTCAACAGTGTGAAAGGCTTGTGGGGAACATGCCAGCCAGGATTAGAGCTCTACTACGTGCCAATGGCAGGACTACTAAATATTAATTTGATGATGTGATGGTTTATTTATTTTTTGTTCAGTTTTGAACACATTCTCTGTTATTTGTTGACTTTGATACCGACAATGTTGAGAACTGACATATTGAAACTGTCAAGAATTTAGTTTTGTTAGTTTTTCTTGTAAACAATAAACAAAAAAATATAATTTGTATTTGTTTGTATCTGTCTAATGCAGCCACACCTTTTGAAACACAAAAAAGATTTTTCCACAAATATTTCATAATAATATTTGAGATTGTGTAAAATTTTAAGGGTGTCCGAAAACTTTTTTCCACCACTGTATATACAAGGTCTTTAAAGTGTGAAGGATTAGTGGTGAGTTTGCAGGATACAACCAACTGAAACTTCTCCCATGTGCCACATGTACAACTATGGTGTCTTACGTGAAAATGGGAATGGCCATATCTCAAGCTAGTGTTTGTCCGCTCTGGGCTACTGTAGAAATAACATGGCAGACTCCATTAAGAAAGGACCTGCTCCCTATGTAGATATATACGGCTCATTGTAAGCTAATGAAAACAGAACTATTCTTAAACTAATAAAAACATGGTTATGTTTATGTATGGTTTGTACTCAACTTCTGTTAATATATCCCCCTAAATCCTACATACTGGACCTTTAAATTTCAGTATTTTTTACTAATAATACCAACATAGTTTTAAACATTAGCAACAATGCTGACAGAGCTAAGGTGTTAACCAGGAGGGAAGTGGAGGGTTGGTGCTACACTTCCGCAGTGACAGTCCCGATATCAGCAGTAACTGACGTATGGGCACAGAGCAAAGCGGCGGTGATGAGTCAGCTAGTGTACTACAAACAGGCACTAACATGCAAATGAGGCCGAACCGGCTTCCCACATTGAACCACAGAGAAACTCAGATTACAAAACACACAGAGGTAGTGTGACACCATTCTCTGCTCAGGACGCCATAACTCTGCTATGTCTTTATATAGCAATCAGTGGCTTGCTGCAGTATTAATGCTCTAAATGTGGGAAACAGAACCTTTAAGTAAAAATCCTAAAAGTACCTCCACCACTGCAGTACAGTTACAAAAATGCTTTCAACAATTTGCAGATTTGAGGCTATTATTAAGTCATCTTTGAGTTTACGTTCTTAAAAATTAGCATTCAAAGATTATTATTCATAAACTTGGCACTAGTTCAAAATTTGAACTGGCCATCTGCACTCAACCCAACAGATGTATTTCCCCATGACCAAGACTTTTAAATCATTATCAAACATTGTAACTTACATGGAATCAAAAATAATACTGAGTAGTCTCTCTCCTACCTTGAAAGATGCAGCGTTGACTCTCCTCTGATCTTAAGGCAAAACCTTCAAGTGCAGCCTCATTTTCTCCGTGACAGGACCGGGCCTCGGTTCCTTCCCAAGAATCCACGGCAGCAGGACTGGTTGTGTGAATGTTTCCATTCAGGTCGAGACACTCATGCAGACAAACTTCTCTCTTCCCTCCCCAGACAGCGGCTATTAAGGGTGGGGTAAAGGCTGCCCTTTTCACAGCCTTTGATGGAGGCTGCTCATTAGAGCGGCTGCAGGAGGCGCAATAGGAGAGGGAAAACACACAGTGTGAGGTCAAAGCTAGCCACAATTAGCACTAAAGCAAACAATGACAATCAGATGCATTTAAGTATGTAATAAAAAAGACAATTGGAAGATAACAGCCAAAACAAAACAGTCCAGAGTACCACTTACAACTTTTACAGCAGTGTGTTTATTGCTTTAATGTGAAAACACAGCAGAACACAGTCGCCCATAGCAACAATCGTGAAGAACCAAACAAAAAGCCGTCAAAGACTCATTTCAAGTATCTTGCAGCTTGTCACTCACATCTTGCAGATCAGAAGCACTTGCAAATCACACCAATCGATCAATAAAATGTAATTGCACCCGCACAGGACACCGTCTCATCTGTCAATAGAAAGCCCACAGTCCTCCCGCCATCCCCTCAGAGAAACTGGAACAGGGGGAAAAAAATAACCCTCCACAGCTGAGCCCTCTGAACGAGCACACAGCCCGAGGAAGAGTGTCTATCTCTATGCAAAGCTGTGATGTCTGCCTACCACAGCAGATTAAAGGATCTCTCCACATATTGCCCTGAGCATAAGAGCAGAGCAACGGCTGGATAAAAAGATGTCTATGACAGCTGGCAGGCTCGTCCCTCCACTCGTCTCTAGCTTACACTTAAATGCAAAGAGAAGTGTGAGGCATGGAATTTGTTGCCTTCATTCATGTATTCATTCACACACTTAAGACACACTGACAATGCAGGAGAGGCTTTATTTGTATCTTCAGTGTTGCCACACATCCTCCCCTTCACTCACAGATGTATCGGTTACCATAGGGACTCTTTAAGCTACAGGCATACGTTTGTGTATGAAGTGCATATTGTATTAATGCTGTGTATGTGTGTGGGGGTCATGCTCAGTGAGGACAGCATCATTCAACTCTTGAGAATCCACGTGAGAATAAATTAAAAATCTGACCACAAGCAGACACGTTTTCATTTCACTGTTTAGATGGCAGTTCTGGCTGTTTTATTGTTAACAAGATATCCTTTTTCAATTTAGGGTAATTATTCTGGCACCAAAGATAATCTCTTTAACTCATAATGTAGGCTAACTGTGCTGATTGGATTCATTAGCCGGCCCACTTCCTGAAAAAGAGACATTCATTTTAAGGATTAAAAACTGATGTTGATCATGATAATAAAATAAATATTTCAGAATCTGATATGCACTGTGGATAGCTCAGTCAGTAAACTGAAATATATATGTAACGTTTCACGTTAATGACTGAAAAGTGGTTCATGTCTAAAAGCAGGCTAACCAGGTGCCACTTGTGGGCTTCTGTGGTCCTCCAGTCAGATGTGGACTGATTATTTATTAGTAGACGCTTCTGATTATTTTTTGTTGGAGTAATTTTCTAGTTTTTAAAATGCCGACATGTCAAAATAGTAAAGTAATGCACACAGTTTCTTGAAAGTCGAGTTGAAGTCTTCAGATTGCTAAACCTCAAAAAGTATTCAATCAACAATTAAAGAGTGACTAAATCCCCCAACCACTCCTATTTTTAGCTGAAACCAATGTTTATAGTTATTTAGTTCTGTTGTTGATGGATCCAGGTCCAAATCTTGACATTTTAGTGCAAAGTATTTGAATTATACATATGGTGTCAGAAATAGTCATAACGACTGCACTCTACTGCTCGAAACCAGGCTATTGCAATTGAATTTTGCTATTGGCTGATCTGGTGGCAGGTGACATACACATATATGGCGGTAGCTTTCGTCAACAACTAACAATAGATGTATAAGGAGATAAAATAAAGCGGATCTTCCGCATCACTTGGCCCACAGAGCAAGTGTACAGAGACCTTCACCAGCCGAGTTGCTAACTTCCAGTTTAGCCCTCCACTAACTTGAATAGGGAGAAATGTATTTAATCACGCAGCTCTTCTACAGTTTTGAAATGGTATTAGACCAGCTGTTTTACATCCTGATAGTGAAACGAGTCATTTCACCAGAGTTGTGGTGCTCAATAAAAAATGTATCCACCGATTTACCGATGTTGCTTTCACAGTGTGAGTCTTTTGGACTCAATGGCATCACGTGTTGGACCTAGAAATTGTAATTCCATGGTTTGTCCACTGTGTCAAATTTGCTTCAAAGCTGTTCCTGGGTCTTGCAACCAACTGCCGCCCCCCTGAACTCTGCAGCACAGAGGAGTGACTGGGTGTGCCTTAGCCCCCCTCCCTACCAGCCCTGCCCTGCTGATGCTAGAGGCTTTTTTTTTGTGTTTCCAGGGTAGAGGCACTTCACCCAAAACTCTGGGGTTTAGTTGGGGCTCTAGTTTCGCAGACCGGGCACGGCAGAGGTGCAGCGCACCTGCGCTTCGCCAACTGGGTGTGGCCAGGTGGATTTTGTAAGTTTGGCACACCGTGCGCCCTGGCGTAGCTACTCCTCTATCCCACCTCCGTCCCTCCTACCGGCGCAAGTCGGAAAGAGGGAGGAGAGAAGGCGTGGAGTGGGTTTTACACACATCACACCAATCAAATGAGCCCCTCTCCTCGCCCTTAAATGCGCCGCGCGAAGGTGTAATGAGAGTTTACTCAATTCGCCATGGCGGAAGAGAGCAGCAGCGTCAGACAGCCAAACTCCTCCCAGGAGGAAACTGATGTTTTGGTCCGGGAGGTCCAAGCTCGCAGTGTCTGAATATATGGAACTGCGAGCAGACCTCCACGGGCTGATGATGCAAAGGTAGCCTGGGAGGAGGTCACCACAATTGTAAATCAATGTTGCGTTTCTCTCGTGCGTGCGCTCTCTCTCTTTCTCTCTCGCAGTCTCACTCTGTTTCTTTTCTTTTGACTTTTCTAAGATGGCTTTTCTAAGATGACAGATGCTGAATATATACTCCCTATCTGATGCTGTGGCTGTTTGTGGTTGGCTGAGAGGGATGTGAACTCATTAGTTTGCAGCTGTGTTAATCAAATCAAGTTGGGTTTCCATTACGCGTGCCAAACGTGCCAAACGGTGCCAATCCCCTTTGATCTGACATCAGATGTGACGGGACAGTCGATATAGAGATACATTTATGTGCTGATTGTAGATAGTTGCATTGAATAGTGTTTTTTTTGGGTATTTATTGCATCGTTAATGTGCCTGATATTCTGGAAACCTGCCTGTGAGGTTTTGGTGACGTGTGCGCACTGTCAGCCAAACTTCGGCTTAGACCGGCTGCGCTCCCCCTGCGCTGACAGTAGACCTGGTTTCAGCTGGCGAGCTTTTAGCGCACCTTCGGCGAAGCCTTTTGGCACGAAACTGTCACTGCGCCAAGCTGGATCTGTCGACACCTCCCCCTGCTGCCCCGCCACACCCATCTCAGCGCACCTCGGTCTGCCAAACTACCACACTGAGCGCGCCTCGGGTTGCGCTGCTCGAAACTAGCTCTGTGCGGGGTTCGCCACCCTGCGCCACCCTGCGCTGCGCCGGGAAACTAGAGCCCTTGGTCTTTAAATATGTATAAAATATAGAAATATAGAAAAACATTATTTATTTGATTGTTGTTGATTAGTATTCTGTCAATTGACTAATCAATTAACCAATCCAATCATCCCAGTCTTAATACATTGTATATTCACTTTATAATAAAGGCACAAAACACACGCTTTAGTATGCATAACTGATTCATGAGTCATGGGTATTTAATGCATGAATCTGACAGTCAGATGCAAACATCTACATGTTGCTGCATGACTGAGTGGTCAGTTGTCTGTCTCTCCTCCCCTGAATAGTCAGCTGAGATGCTTTTGGTTTCAGTGCACTCTTCCGTGCTCACGCTTCATTCCACTTCTCTCAACAATAACAAAAAATATAATAATAAAGTGACCAAAAAAACAACTCATGTTCCTGTCTGGCTTGTAAATGTGACATTTACAACAATGAGAGTTGGATCATCCAACTACATGTCGATGTTTCCATCTGACCACCAGTTTGATAAAAACAGCATCATATTTCTGTAACAATGGGTAACATTGTCTCATCTTTGGGTCTTACATATAACTGGATTCCAGCTAATAGTCCATACACTTCATACATTAATTTCATACATCAATTTGATAAATTAATATATGAAGTAACTGTACCCTTATTATAAAGTGTTAGGGATTATGTTTCATTGGATCAGGATGTAGGATGCTTGAGGCACAGCTAGACATTTCAGCCTGCTCTCTTTACTGAGTAAACACTTAGTGAACCAAAGCCAATGCTGTGCCACTGGCTACACTGACAAAATGTCCTTTGTGTGGTCCAAATTGAGAAAGAAGAGTTTAAAGAGAGACAAGTGTCTGAAGTCCTACTCACAGTGTGGACGGGCTGTAGTTAACCAGGCAGTGCAATACACCCAGCAAGTCGTCTTCCCAATACAGACCACTGAACCTCTCCTTCACAACACTGGCAAACGTTTTGTACTGGAGGTCCTTCAAAGAGAAGATGTACTCCCCTCGGAAAAAAGAAAAAGACGATTTTCTAAATTAGTATGTGTGAACAAGTCAAAACAGAATGATGGAGTGAGTCACTGTTCTGTGGTTTCAGAAAAAAACCCACAATAACTGCTTCTTGGTTGTATGCCTCGCTAACCAGGCAAGTTACAGGCACAGTTTAAATCCATGTCTGTCCAGACCCATATGTAGCCATGACAGTGGACAATGCATCAAATATGGATGCTGCTGCAAAGAAGCTACATAATCTCAAGTGTGGAGGCCTCACAGAATATCTATACAATCAGCACAGTTTTAAGATGCACACTCAAGATTAGTGTCACCAATTCAGTATCTGATCAAATGTCTCCCCTACTATTTCTGAGTTATGACGTTGAATAATGGTCAGACAACTATTTTTACAGAATATTATGTTGTCACAATGAAGCTGACCTTTGACCTTTTGAATATAATATGTCAGCACTTCATCATTTTATCCTATTAGACATGAGGTCACAGTGACCTTGACCTTTGATCATCACATTCTAATCAGTTCATCCTTGAGTCCAAGCAGACTTTTGTGCCAAATCTGAGTAATTCCCTCAAGGCATTCTTATGATATCGCATTCACCAGAATGAGAGGGACGCAAGGTCACAGTGACCTTGACCTTTGACGACCAGATTCTACACAGTTTATCTGGACTCCAAATGGATGGTTGTGCTAAATTTGAAAGAAATCAGTCAAAGTGTTCTTGAGATATCGGTTCATGGAAAGGGACAGACGGATAGACAACCCGAAAACATAATGTCTCCTGTCACGGTGATCACTGGTGTGGAGGCATAAAACATGCCTTCAGTGAAGGAGCTAGCTGGTGTTAAAGGAACATTATGCAGATTATTAAATTCCTTTGAAATTAAAGGTGTTTTTTCTCCCAAACACTGCACGCTTTTGGTTTAAGGATTATTTAGGAATCACTGCATAATACAGATACAGAAGGTATTTCACCATTCCATTGCTGTGTAAAGCAAATAAAACAGTAACACAACAATGTAATGCTGTAAAGACACATACCCATGTCGATGTCCTCGTGTCCATTGTCCAAATACCCATCAAGTGAAAACTCTCCCCTGAGCAGGTCAATCACCTCCTGTAGGGCAGGGTGAACTTTAGGGGAGATGAACTCTGAAGGAGACTGGCTCTCACCTTGTGCTCCTGGATTTGTTTGTCCATTGTACGCTCTGGGCACACTGTGCTCCAAAGGGCTGTAAGAAATGATGGAGCTGCCATTGAAACAGGATGATGGTGGGCCATAATCCTGGGGTCCAGGCCTCACAGGCACATTCAGACAGTTAATAAATGGACCATCAGTGCTCTCTGGAACTGTGATTAGTCCCTGCAAAGCCTGTGGCACCAGGGAGAGATTTATATCCAACCCAAGGAGAGCCTCGGGAGCCCTCACTTGCACGGGCACTAAGGAAAGATGTCCTGTTGTGGGATCCTGACGGAAGAGGTAATTGTTGAAAACACCACAACCGCTGAGGTTAGTGGATAATGGTGGAGGAAGAGAGACTTCAAGACAGGAAATATCAGGGAGAGGAGGAGTAGGGCTGACCGGCATCTTGTCGCTGGAAGTTGTAAAAGTTGTTGTTATGTTTGCTTGATTAACGGGCAACTCCTGTGGATGTAGACTGGGTTCAGTCGGTGTAGGGTGTGGGTACTCAGAGTGTGACGTGAAATCAAGGTCCCTTTCCTCCATGTAGTTACTACTTTTTGTGAATCCATCCACAGTCCTGTAAAATAAACAATCCCTAATAAGCTTTCTTTTTATGTATAGGTATTAGTTTTACTGATGTCTCTTCTTGTATTTTTTTTCTTTTTAAATATAAATTCTGTCATGTACAGAAATGGTTCAGCATTATGGAAAATACAACTATTCCCTTTCCTGTTGAGATTTACATGAGAAGATAAGTACCACTCTTATTTCTGTCCAAGCTTAGCTTAGCATAAAGAAAAAAACAATATGTGTGTTTTTATGGGGGATTATGTATTGACTATTTATTGGCTGGGCTCAGGGATTTCCTGGAGTTCTTTAATTTCTGTGAAGTTGCCAGGCAACCAGTGGGGACTTCAGGAAACCACTGCACCCGGCCCAAGCTCCCAAGGACCAGAGCTGGACTGTAGACACATGTCTAGCTGCAGACATTCCAGGCAGACCCTGCACAACACACCCCGACAAACTCCGGCCACCAGTGCAAGACAAATCCTCCACTGCAATGGTTATTTGACGCATGCTACAACATGACGCTGTAATAGGGCTGTCACTATTTATTCAAAATTCAATCCCTAATCCAAACATAATTAATTTATGAACTGCAATGACCTGTTTAATTTGTGCAGCAGACTGTTTATAAGCCAGCAGACCATTTAAAGTAGTTTGCCTTGTCATCCAGCAGAGGGTGCTCTAAAGTTTCACTATCAGCTTGACCTGTTCCACTGAGGACACTGGCAAGCCAAGCCATCCTGAGAGGACAATCACGACATCAAAGCATCTGAGAAACACTGTATGGAAGTATTTTGGGTTCTACACCGTAGATGGGAAATCAGCTACCAAAGACAAGGCTGTTTGTTGACTTTGCACAAAGCATTTGACTTACTCCACATCAACAGCGAATCTCCAGACACACCTGCTAATGTTAGCTTGCCACCCAACCAGCAGAGGTGTCACAGATGACACCACACATTAAAAACATAAAGACTATACTAAAGGATACTTATCTTTTTACTCACTCTTACCACAGACTGATGGACTGTGCTGGCCACACATGCATGAGACAGCCACAGCTCACTGTATTTCAGACACATGGAAACTTGACAATTACGTTCAGTGTGCTAAGAAGCTAAGAGGAAGCCACGCAGCTGTCCAAAGCATCTCCTGTGAAGCTGCTGTGGCTGTCACTTTAACCTAACACTTGATAGCTTGGTTAATTCAAACTTGGCATTTTCTTCAGGGTTTGTGCTTGCGGGCAAAGGGGGCCGATTGTGGACTATGTGTGGGTATGGAGGGTGGGTCATGTAGCTGCTCCAGCCATAACTATACCTACATGGGGCTGTGAGATGATTTGGGCGTTGTGGCCACACTCTGTATAGCAGGATCACATGACATACACTGGCCAGAAAAGAATTATCCCATACACAATCATTACAAACAGGGTGGCTGTTAAACAATGAGTTACTCACAAACACACCATGTGACTGCAGACAGAGCGAGCCTTACTTTTCACCAGTTTCTTTGTGCTAAGCTAAGCAAATGTCTTCTCATTTAACTGTCAACAAGAAAGCATTTCCAAAAATGTCAAACTACTACTAAAAACTACTACTACTAAATCATATGAATCATTTTTACCTAAATTACTGCTTTTTAAAACAAAAAACAAAATGTAAAGTGATAGAACATATGATTATCTGGAATATCCTACCCATCAATGGCAACTCCAAGGTGTTGGCTCTCCTCCTCTGAGTCCCCGTCATTGGTCAGGATGATGGGGGTGAAGTGTGTGGCAGTGGAAGTGAAGGCTTCTGGTAGTTGGAGCTCCTTAGTGACTGGATAGCTGTGGGGAACAGGGCCAGGCACAGGAGCCAGTCGGCTCTCAGTGGCCATGGGCACAAAGCCTACGCACAGTTACAACAATGCCAGATACAATATCAGTGATATTGTCTCATGCAATGCACATCGGTAAAGTACACAAGAGGGGCGGATTCACAAAAAGAGTGCACGGCTTTTGGAGCCACTCAGAGCACCGGCGAAGGGTGAAATGCCTCCTAACCGCGCTGCCAAGCAAATAGCTGCTTGGTGCTCCTGTGATATTTGTATATATTTAAATTAGGTAAATGCATACTGTATACTGGGTGCAATATTAGCCCAAGTCTAAGCAAATAAGCTTCATTGCAAAAACAGTCCAATTCACAAATACCAGCGCTTACAGCCACACAGTTACGGTGAAATTATAACGTCTTCACAGAGTTAATGGTAACTGAAGCACATTTATAAGGGGTGTCATGTCCACACTTAACAGTGATCATAGCAGCAGTGATGCAGCCAGGAGACAACATCTACATGCAATGCGTGCCTCTACACCAAACCTGTCAGGACCTGTAGAAAATTTCAGTTTTATTTTCTCCCTGCCTACAGTGTCCCTGGTGCAAAACCAATGTTTATTCTTTGTCCTTTTTAAGCTTTTGATTGCAATTATCCATGTGGCACACTGCACTCAGCTTTAAAACTTTATGAGCGTGTTTGTGCTGTAATATTATTAGCACAGTATCTCTTATGAATTAGACAATGCAGACAGCGGTTGCAAATGATGCGCAATTCATGGTGCTATCAGCAGCCAAAATCCATTCTTTGTGAATTCCTCCCAGAACGCGTAAAATATTAGCCACCATGGTTCGATCCCAGTTTAAAGCCAAGCTTCTGTCTTTACTGAATCAATTTCTGTCATGAATGTCAAAAGAAGTGACAATTTTAAGACAAAACAAATTGGTTGTGCCTCTTGATAGCACAATCCAAAGGTTCATTTTAATATGTGGCACATTTAGTGTATAATACACTGGACACTTTCAAGGTAATCTATATTGCATGAGGGTCGTTCATACTAAATTGAAGATGTCCTACCGCTGTTTTGTGCGGACTCTTCACATGAGCTTTGTTTAGTTTCAGTTGCGCTTAAATCATCAGCATCACTGGATTTAGAGGCTGACTGGAAGAAAATAGAATTGGGTCAATACAATCGAGACAGAAAAAACAGGACAGACATTAAGAGGATGATCAAATAGAAACAAGCTCACTCTGACATTGAAACTTAAATGAATTACAGTTAATAAGCACAAAGGTGCATCTGTGGGATAAAACAAAGCAACATTTACCGGGTGAACTCTGCTGATGAGGTCGTTCCACACTGTCTCAGCATTCGTCCCTTGACATGCTAAGTAGTCACGACAGCTCTGGAACAGATCCACATGAAAACAAATGAGATAACAATATAGGGCACTTCACACACAATCACACACAGACACCAATAATAATGTCAGAATTAGTTGTGCCCTGAAATAACTCAAGTGTTTGAGTGGAAAATAAAAACTCCAGTATTTGAAGAACTCACAGCTACTTTTACTAAATGACTGACAGCATAAAAATAAAAGGAAATTATGGTATTTTGTTGGAGAGTCTTTTGTGACTGAATGACAAAGCACTTTTCTTTAAAAAAGGATACGTCTATTTAGAAAGGTGCTCCTTTCTGAAGTTGTGCACACTGATATGCAAAAATAAAATCAGGCTTCTATGTGCTTTCCAGAGTGAAACATAAAAGACAGAAAGACAAAATAAAAGTCAGCATTAAAAAGTAAAACCAAACGTAAAAGTAGAAAATAAATAAAAAAAATATTAAAAGAAAATTAAGATGCCTAATTGTAATATTTTTTCCAAAATGTACTTTCACTAGGTACACTGACCATTGTCTTATAAGAAATGATTAATAGCCTAAACACAAACATAACATAAACAACATCCTTCATAAAATTAACTGAGAGTCTAGAGGCTACAGCCATGCTAGCAGCTCTGTGAGGTTGTACACAGAGGTTTTTTGACCTAAATGCTAATGTCAACATGCTAACATGCTCACAATGACAATGCTAACAGTCAGATTTTTAGCAGGCAAAATTTACCACGTCTCAGTTTATCATGTTAGCATGTATGGTGAGCATGTTTCATGTTAAACTGACATTAGGAAATTAGCTTAAAGGGGAACTAATGTTTTTTTCAATCTGGGCCCTATTTTCTGATCTACTTATGTCTAAATGAGTGATAGGATGTTCAGTTTTTGACATTTCTCCAGTATGAAGCTAGGGCTGACCTGCCTGCAGCTCGTGAGTGCGCACTATATTAAATAATAGGGCACTCAGACAGTGTCAAACAACTTCAAAATACATCCACTAGAAGTGCATTTTTTTCACACAGATAGTATAATTATCCGACAACATAACGGAAAGGAGAAACGAACGTCTGTGTTTACCTTTAGCTGGATTCGGACATGTTCCTCTGCCTGTTGCTGCTCACTTTCTCACCTTGTCCACTCCTCAATTTCAATGAGCTCTGCGTCCGTGTATGTCCGTGAACGCCTTGTTCAAAATACGGGCCGTCATCAAATTCAAATGACTCATCCAGATCCAGTTGGTCGAAATCGGGTAAAAATTCAGCCACGACTATTACTCCAAACAGAGTAACTCCTTGCGTTTGTAAGGTCACTCCAGCGGTAACTTCCTGCAACAACTCAAATCTCGCGAGATGTGAGATTTCAGAGCCAGACTTTCACTCTCTGATTGAGTGTTCTGACTTGCCACAACAACCCCATTTTGACCAACTGGATTTGGATGAGCCATTTGAATTTGATGACCGCCCGTATCTATTTGAACCAGAGTACATGGACGTACACGGACGCAGAGCTCACTGAAATTGAAGAGCGGATGAGGAGAGAGAGGGAGCAGCAACAGGCAGAGGAACATGTCTGAATGCAGCTAAAGGTAAACACAGACGTTCATTTCTCCCTTCCGTTATGTTGTCGGATAATTATACTAACAATCCGAGCCTGTGTGAAAAAAAATGCACTTTTAGTGGACGTATTTGACGTTGTTTGACGCTGTCTGAGTGCCCTATTATTTAATATAGCGCACGCTCACGGGCTGCAGGCAGGTCAGCCCTAGCTTCATACTGGAGAAATGTCAAATATTGAACACCCTATCACTCATTTAGACAAAAGTAGATCGGAAAATAGGGCCCAGGTTGAAAAAACATCAGTTCCCCTTTAAAGCACTGCCTTGCTTCAATGTTACAGAGCTGCTATTTCCAACTTTTGCTACACATGTGCTTGGCAAATAACACTAAAGCTGATGTAAATGTCATGATTTTTACAGGTATTTGATTCATCCTGAGGGGACCACGAATTCTGCTCAAAACATCTGTGCCAATCTATCTTGATGATATTTAGATGTCTTAAAAGAAAAGTATGATGTTCGACCTGCTAGTAAGAAGTAGGTAGAGCAAGTAAGTAGGGTACATCAATACATTCAATGGCAATACATCCAATAGTTACTGAGAAATGTCACTAGAATCAGAAAAAGGGTAATCTCATGTAGCCTAGTTGTGCTACAAAACTGGTGGGACCAACTAACTGGACAGCAGACCACCACTGCCATTCCTTGAGCCATGTCACTAGCATGGTTAAAAACATAAGGGTTGTTCATATAACACCTGTAGTGGGCATAAACTAGTGATAGTTAATCTCAGACAAGAGATGCAATAGGACTTGGAGGCCTGTAAAATGTAACTGTAGGAAGTCTGGTATTGCATCTGAACAGCACTCAAAAGAACTAAAACCCCAAGTCAATATTCCACTACTTCAGCCTCCCTGTATAAATATCACCAGTTCCCCCAGTTCTGTTTGAGCATGAAACAAAACTGGAAGGCGAGGCTTCGGTTTGAGCTGTCAGCTTGTTTGTTCTCAAACAGTTCAAAACACACAACCCAGTTTATATTTTAATAATAAAACTGAAGCAGAAATATTAATCAAAGCCATTCTCGTAGTCAAACTGACTTTTGTCTCTTGTAATTTGTTGGTATATTTAGTGCTTTAGTACATTTAAATTGAGCCTGCTGTTACGTCGGCATTATAACAGGAGTTGAAAACAGAAATAGTGTTGACTGGGAGTTTAAGTTCAGCTAGAGTACAGGAATCAGAAAAGTAATGGAATGGTTGAAATGCTCTAATGGCAGATACTTTCAAGCAAATGCAGTAGAGATTTGCAAATTGCAGTGGCCTGTGCCCAGTAAAAGAAGAAAACTGGCAACTACATATGAAGCATAACTTTTCTAGTCTGCCAGTGTTAGCCAAGGAGCTTTGCTGAAACTTTGAAAAACAAAAAGCCAACTTGGGAGCAATTCTTGCTTTTTAAGTAACTGATAAAATACAAACTTTTTTAGCCATGATGATGGTCGGTCTCTCAATGGGCGTCCTCTTTGCCATCTCCAGAAGCAGTCTCTTCAGTTTGCGAGGCATTGCCAGTTTTTGATTAGGTGATAAACTGAACTTGGCTGTAGCCCATAGAATAGCAGCAACCCCATACACACAAACCTGAGCCAAGACAGAAAAGAGTAGTAGAGGGAAAAACCTACAACCAAAGCAAATGACTGGTGAAAGTTTTAAAAAATAACTTGTGGAAGACAAACCTTCTCTGTCACAATTCCATGTTCTTGATATTCAGGGGCAAGATAAAATTCATCTCGGGATCCTGCAAAGAACACAGAAAGTCAGTTAGTGAAAAGTCTCCAGACACTTATATACTTTGGTAAGGAATGCATTCTCAACATCTATTCTGCAATATTAAAATAAATGGAATATTGTTTGGCTGCTGGGCTCTATTGCTCTGCAGGAAAACATCAGACTACAGCACAGGACTGAAGGAAACCTACCAATGTTTTTAGGTTTCAGGAAAAGTACTTCTCCCTCACAGCCAACATGCAGTGTGTCCAGGCATAGGTAGGCTAATGGAAAAGAGAGAAATCAGCTGTACAGGGAAATTGTAGGCAACAAAAACGCAGGCCAAGGAACATAATGTAATTCACACAGTTTTTGATTTTCCCTCTGACAGCCCAACATTAACTGTAGAAGATCTTAAATGAACACAAAAACATGAACACTAATAAAACAGAAAGATATAAAATACACCATGTATTCTTACATAATACATGTTGGGACCTCCATTGTTCTTGCAGGGGAGCAGTTAATAGTAAGTTCTGGTTTCAAGCATAAAGAAGGTAGAAATCACCTGGAAAGTCAATGTAGGTCTGCAGTGTGGACAGGCATGTGTAGCACAGAGCCCACAGCTCATTAACTGTCAGCCTCCGTCCACACCGAGTCAGTAACTCTCTCAGAGAGATCCACTGCACAGAAAATAAAGAACAAACTCAGTTTAAAACAGGACTAAGTTACTGAGCTGAGCAGGCCTCATTAACTCAAACTGAAGTAATCCCTAACTTGACTTTCTCCAAATTTATTTTTGAATGTTCCATCCTTCAGCAGTGATTTGTCTTATGGAAGTTTCATTATAGGCTTTAGTAACAGACTCTAGCAAAAGCTTGTAATAGACATGGTTTCTTTATGGCAAAAGATTTTAATGGGCAGAGTTTCTTTATGGAAATTAAAAAAGCTAAGCAGTCCTCAGCGTCATGTATCATGGCAAATGTATTTTTGCACTAAGAAGCCATGAAGTATCCTGAATAAAACTTGTTTGGCTACTTAGCCAGTGAGCAAGTTAGCTTGCTGGCTTCCTAACTAGCTATAGAGCTAAAAAGAGCTGCTTTGAAATAAAAGTTCAAGTTCATTCTTGACTGTGGAAATAGTGGGAGATTAAAGTAGACAAAGTAGAAATAGTGGTAAAAAATTAAAGGGTTAGTTCGGATCTTTTGAAGTGGAGTTGTATGAGGTACTTACCCACAGTCAGTGTATTACATAGAGTAGATGTCAGTCAGCACGCCCCCTGTTTAGAGAAGCAGGCTGCACTCGGAAAAGCAATGTACTGCTGTGTAGGGGCAGCAACAAAATGTATTTTAGCCACCCAAAAAATGTCCAACCTAAAAAATTAATATCACTTTCAGTGTACATTATTAAGTATATTTTTATTGCTTTACCTTGCCGTTAGTCAGTGATATCAGACAAGGAATGAAGCTGTTATATAGCTCCCTTGAAAGCCAGACTGCACTGAGAATTTAACATTGCTGAACAGAGGAGCTGCTGGTCTATCGCTGCCTCGTTCAGTTAGTTTTCTTGTGTTGCCGTGTGATTTTGGCATTTAAAAGCGTTCACCAAAGTCACAAAAATAACACAAACTAACAAAAAGATCAAGGCAACAGTAGACCAGCAGCCCCCATATCAAGTCCGCCAAAATTACTGTTTTTTTTTAATGGAGTCTGGCGGCCTTGACAAGAGCATAGATGGGGAACTGTAGCCATTAACGGCTATCCCACTGGAAGAGGCTGTCTGATGGAAAGATAAAGTGGTGAAAATCTTCTCAATATAGTGTAGAGTTAAACTGTTTATATTTTTTTTGGGTGGCTAAAATATGTTTTGCTGCTGCCCCCATCCATAACAGTGCACTGCTTAGCTTCCTGATCAGAACTACTGCCACTTCTCCAAACTGGCAGTGCCGACTGCCATATAGGCAACACACTGACTATGGATAAGTACCTCGTAACACCCCACTTTAAAAAATCTTAACTATCCTTTCATTTTAACACAAGGTCCCCTTGCTATCGTGCCTCACCATCAACCAGCTGTTATCACACTAACTTTTATACTTAGGTCCCATGATGATAACACAATGACTCCATGTCAACTAAGCAAACTCCATCTGCTGATGAAGATACAGTTGTAAACATGGACCTTGATTTAGGTTATTTTGTCAGTCTAACAGCTCAGCTTCTTCTCAAGCTACTACTTAGCACTTTGGAGACACTACATTTAAAAATTCTAGTTCCCATTTCCAAACACAAATACACTCCTCCCCACAAGAACCTTTTTATGTTTCGATCTTTCCCTCTCACAGTTATTCTTATTTACAGACAGCCAGCAAAGTCAGAAATTTGAGAGCCATTTGGCTCTGTCTAACCTCATCCTGAGATTCTTCATTGAGGCACAGCATGCTTTTGGTCATGTAGTTATTAGGAATGTAGAGGCTGGGGGTCAATGAGCTCTGGTCCTCCTGTTCCATGTCCAGCTCTTGACAGGAGGCACAGGAAGAGGCTGAATCCTGGGTGCAGTCCTTAGATTCACATTCCTGGCACCCTTGAATCTGTGTTCCTCCGCAGCATAATGTCTCTGCAGCATCCTCATTTCCTCGTGACATTTGGCTGTCCACAACTGAGTTCACACAATCCTCAGTGCTACTGTGTGGGTAACACTCACAGGACTTGCCCCGGTTCAGTCTCTGAAGTCTGTTACTCCACACAGACGTGCAGCTCAAGTGTTCGTCCGCTCCTATCTCAGTGAGGTCGGATACAGGTACACTGATATCTCCGTGGGTTTGAGGGGTGAGACAAGGGGGGTTGTTGGAGTCTGGGACAGAGCAGGAGCGGTTCAGAGCCCCCCTCACCCTGTTCAGCCTCTGTTGGGCTCTCCTCCGCACTGGAGAGCTGTTGTGGGACCTGCAGTCCAACTCATCTGCCAAGATCATCCCGTCTCCTTCACCACTTTCCATATCCTCTGCCCAGAGGGAGGAATCCCAGCCCCCGCACACCTGCAGATTGAGTTGTTAGTATACAGTCCTCTATTTCAGCTGTTCTGAATGCAAAATAATAATTCTAGTTATACATTAATGGGTGTAAAACAGATTTTTTAACTGCAAAATTGAAACACAGATAAAGAAACCTTGGTCAATTTTGTCACAATTGAGATGCTGCACATGCACAGGGTCTATGGCTGGAACATAAACAAGTGACTGAGAGCTAATGGAAAGATCAACATAAGGTGTTGTTTTAAGTAATGAGTGGACAACGTTCATTACCCCAGTACAGAAACCTCTCTTTCAGCAATATACCATTAGTATCTGGAGATCGTGTCTGGCCCTGGGTTTTAATAAGGTGGTGGATAACAGAAACTAATGAGGAAGAAATGCCTGGTTTAAAGTAAGACAGCTCACACTATTGCTGCTTGTTTATGACTCATTTGTAGAATAATGGAAAAGTATCAGGCACGATGATTAATGCCCCAGTGATCAGTCTGACATGAGTTTAGAGTTTGGAGTGCGACACAATGACAGCTAGGGTGGAGGATAGGGGTTGGGGGTTGGGAAAACTATTCACATCACAACTGTTACCTTCTAGGATTCTTGTAAATGCCAAAAATAATTTTTGGTACGCTGTTAATGAAGTTATGTTCACCAAACAGAAACAGCAGAGCTCTGCAAGAGCACAGTGCAGCACCTGGACAATGTGCAGCGCATACACACAATTATGTATCTTGTAGTTCATCTTCAAAGAAGGAAGAGTCTGGGTGCATTTTGGATGTAATAACTTAACTAGGAAGCAACCCCCAGAGCTGACTGCAACCTCTCTACATACACGCAGCATTGAAGCACCCAGTGGAAAAGTCCCTCCTGGCTTACAGTCAAGATGCAGTCAAGAATCTTGCTTAACATAGTGAATCATAACATATCGGGTACAAAATCAAGCTGCAGATGCTATGGTCAGAGAGAAACCAAACTTTTCATTGGATGTCAGTTCTCTCGAGGCTTGACGAAGGTCAAAATGTGGCCTGCAAAAGATGGTAAGGCTTGTTTTTAGCTAAGATTTCCAGAAATGCCTTTTGTTTTTGCTTTTGATTTTGTTGATGACTTGCAGTCCCTACTGGCTGCTCAAGAGGAGTGAAGAGTCGGCAGTTATTATGACAGAATAAAACAGCAAATAAAACAGATCTTTTTAAATAATTGTGATCACAGCAATGCCGAGAGGTGAGCATACGGTCATACGTATATATGCACACAAAATATTAGGCTGATTGTTCCAGTAGTATGCCAGATTAGCTGTGGACAGACAGCCGACTCTCAGTCCCAACTCATCAAATACCACCGTTTTGTCACTGATTTCGGTGTCAAAAATCAATGCAAAGAGGCACCTTTTGCAGCAGCATGATCCCCTCAAGGCTTACGCCCGGCGTAGGTAATTAGCTTTACATATATATCACATACTATATTTTATGCATACTTTGTACCCCATTACTACCCTGGAAATCCAGAGTTCTTGTGAGACCACAATTTGAATTTGCTCAGCGAGTCACTCTGGCAATCGGTAATGATCCTCATTACCTATGCCCATGAAACCGAGCTGCACCAATCACATCGGTGTATCTGATATAGGCGGGCCAGAGGCGAGCTAAACAGATGATGACAGTGCTGCGACGACGAAGTCCGGACTCAGTCAGTAAACATTGCAAGATGGCTACGGATGAACACCAGTTGTTTGAAACAGCTTTGGCCGCTACAGTGAACGAGTTAGACTTGGCTTTTTCTCTGAAAGAGGAACAGAAGACGGCGCTCGAGTCTTTCCTTTGCAAGAAGGACGTTTTTGCTGCTTTGCCGACTGGATATGGCAAGAGTCTAATCTACCAGTTAGCTCCGCTGGTAGCTAAGCGTATACGTCACTCTGTGTATTGTGCCGATTGGTCGTAGTGTTATCCAATTGCGTGCAGTGATATTTACAAATGCATGCTTGGTGCCGCCACTCGAGTTGGGCCATTTTCATTACTCATAGCCAGACCCTAAATCTTTCTAGATTTGGGTCTGGATTTCCAGGCTACCCCATTACACGGAGACTAGATACATTAGTGGAGTGGAGCACTGAATTCCAGTACTAACAAACAAGACCAGCCTACCAGCACACACTACAGCCAACTCTGGTTGAGTAAAGATATTTAAAAAGCTGCATGCTCACACGTTTCTTTTCTTTCTTTTTGGTGAGAAAGTGACCGTCATCATGACCAGTTAGCTCAACCAGCCACTTATGCTTCATATTGTAAATCAGTGGAGTAAGAGCCTAAAAATAGTGCACCCCATTCAAATTCATTCAATAGAGAATCGGGTATGAAATTAAGAATCCTGAAACCCAACATCACCCCTAGCCCTGGTGGCTGAATGGCTTTAGATGGGAAATGCATCACATTGTTATATTTATAATTGTTCGGGGAAAGTAAAATATCACAAACAGGTGCACAGTCTCTTTTCATGATCCCTGTAGCTCATTAAATCGTATTATAGTGCCGGCATCCAATATGATGACATCAAATATTAAGAGGCTTCTGCGCTCTTCAAGTATAACTGCAGCAACATCTCATACAAGCTGACATCACCTTTTTAAAATGCTATAAACAAACATTTATAGCTTCAGACTGTCACATACCTGCTGCCTGGACAGACCATTAGCTTTAACAGAACTGTCAACACACAGGTCTTTGGTATTGTCTTCCGAGCTCAGTCTTTTAAGCAGACATCTGGGTTTGGGATGCTGCCATCTTGCCTCCCAGGAGCCTTCCTGTCCATCTGTGGATAAACAAAGAGAGCAATTAGTACCAGGGGGACACCGCAGCAGAGACCAAACAGCGATGTGTAAATCGAGGTGAAAAACATGACCTTGAAAGGCTGACACTGATTCGATAGAAAGCACCCGTCGCCCAACCGAAGACAGTTTCCGGCACACAGCTGTAGAGGAGATATGAGACAGCCTGGCTTCAGCCAGAGACAGGATGTCCTGTGGGAGAATCAAACTTGCTGGTTTGCAAAATTCAAGAAAAAATGTTTATGTTTTACATTTGGACAAATCTGTTAAGGAAGGAAAACCATCTGTGGGTAGAGGCAGAACACAACAGAATGCATACTGTGTGCATATATGTATATTTGGAAAGATGCTTCCATCAGTCATGTTATCATATAGTATGAATGTTCGCTGGATTATTCACCTATTGACTGTCATTATGATAACTGCTGTTTTCTACGGATATTGTGTGGGTTCCAGTTTATTTCTTCACTTTTCTGTATTTGCTATGCTATTTTGGTACATGTATGCAGTTTAAGAATTAAACCCATCAACTTGTGCATAGCTATTGTTCAGGAAGTTGATGTAATTTTGTTCTTGTTTGGAATTAGCTGACATTATCAATAGAAATATATCTTTAAATTTTTGTAGGGTACGTTACAGTGGCTTTAAAATCTGTTTTCTCCTCACCTTTCCCTTCCCATGTGTTTCTTTTTACGGATGACTGACTGCTTGGTACCTCGGGTTGTTTGCTGGTTTCCTTGAATACATATGAATAGGCTATCCTACAGTGTATCTGCAGGCTTGTGGTCATTTGTTTCATGAAATGCCAAGCAAAGGTCACTTAACCAAAACATAGCTATTCAATAAATCTATCCTAAGTGTAAACAGTGTGCGGGAACAGATTTTTTTGTCACTTATTCACCTGCATACCCATCTACCTCCACACATTTGATTATCTGCTTTCTCTATGTAAAGAAAAAATGCATCTAATGCTGGCTCTGCAACAAATGACTTTATAAGCAATTTCACTGTTGTAGTTCCAGGGTTGGAATAAAATTATGCGAGTTTTTCTATAGTTGTGGTGCACTCCCATGATCTTGACTATTAAGTCACTCTTTTTCTCATCTTGACATTCCGACACAATCAAACATGTTTTATACAATCGTAAGTCTAAATAGTGAGGAATAGTGGAATTAACAAGAATAATGTTAACATGCAATGACTTTTATCTTGTGTTTATAGACTTATGTGTTTTTGCAGGCACATAAGGAATAGTTAATATGTCATATTCCTTAAAGGGAGTCTGGAGTAAATTTTTCCACCAGGAGCAGGACAGGAAATTATCTCAAAAGGAATCTAGTTGTAGTCTTTCAAATAATGACCCTGCAAGATGCCCAGTCTTCCCAAAGTCTGTGACTAAAAACTCCCATTGTCTTTAGATGTGACATTGTGTCAGACTTTAGTCTTTTAAACATCTTTTCAAAATCTTCTAGTGTATTGAAAACATAACATGCATGAGTGTACTTTGAAACTTGTAACACACTTTCAAGGTATGTTATGTATAACCGTATGAGCCAAAACCATTATTTCTTTTTTATTCACAAATTTTCAAGTCAATTTAATGCAAGTATGACTTGTCTGTTCTTTTCTTAGTTTTATTTTGAAAGGCACTGAGCAGCACATTGTGCATATATTTATATATATATTTTATTTAGTATTTTTCTTTTTTTTCCCCAGACTGTGATTATACCAGAGTGAACACTGACACTTGCACTGACACAGCATTTCCACTTGATGCTGCTCAAGAGCACTGACTCACTATATGCAGTGCCAATAATTGAACTTCATCTAATTGTCAACGGTGGAAAAATAGACTTAAATTAATGCTGGAGCCAAAATCATCCAAAAATAAACAAGGCATGCTACACTGGAATATATTCTATAATCTTGTTGGCTGGCCACACACCCACACACACACACACACACACACACACACACACACGTGCTGCTGTATCACCATTCATCTCCTTGAGTCATAATGAGTCTATGGCTTATGTTAGGTTTTTTTTTTTTTGGTATTGAGGATTTCCTAACAATTTTAGAATGAACTGAAATGAACCTCAATACTTACTGATCACATTATCATTTACTTAATTTTTTAATCCTTAGTTTCTCATTTTACTGTTAAGTTGGTGTTTTCTTAATCGCTAAATGTAAAGCAAACTCATTTTTACATTTGCATTGAAATGGAAATAAATCAACTTTATTTCAGGCACTTATTTTTTAGCTGGATACCATGGCAACACAATTGCTCAAGAGAGATCTCTAATTATTCCACACTTTTCACACCTTTCCATAAATCTTTCTAGCCGTAAGAGAGAGCCAGCAGGGTGTTTGTACCTGCAGGAGCGGCCTGTCCTCAGGGTTCTCCTCCTGCATCTGCTCCAACAGCCTCTGGATTTCTTCTCCCAGCTCTGCCTCCAGCTCTGGCTCGATGACAAAGTTCAGTGCAGCAGAAAGTGTGGAGCCCAGAGAGTAAACATGGCCCTGCAGCCAGCAATACAGGAGGAGAAAACACTATTATCATCATCATCATCAGGAGCCAGCTGCAGCTGTGAATTACAGTAAGTGCAGAGATCTCAATCTGTGAATGACGACAGAAAAGCCTAAGAAAACACAGGATCTTCTTACCATTCTGGGCAGTAATTGTCACGTATTGTAGATATTTACGACACAGCTTTTGTTTTGCTTTGCTACACTGACAGTGGGTATTATCGTCAGCTGTACGGCAGCAGCAGATTTGAACCAGGTGCTTCTGAGTTCACATCGCAGATGTAACGATCACTCCCAACAATTGAAGTGGACTGCACCCATACTTATGTGGTTAACACATGTGCAAGGCGGATCCCAGTGTGGGTCACCAAAATAGTCACAGAAATACTCAGCTGAAGGTCTTAACTCCTGTTTTGCTTACACGATTACTTTGGCAATGCGTTATATCTCCCTCTGGAAAAACACACTTGAGAAAAACACTTTAGAAGAAGAAGAAGAAGAGGTGTGTTTTTGTCAGACATCTTGCGTACTTTGACAGACAGCTAAACTAGCATGCACAGTTTTTAGTTACATAAGCCTACTGTGAATTTATTCATGTGATGGTGAGAACAGTGACAGCAGTCAATGGGAATGTGTGAGCTTCACATTTTTATGCTTCATTTTTTCCACACAGGATGCCAAAACCTTTGGAATCCAGTTGAATCAAAGGCTGCATAGAGACTCATAGCGCAGCAGACACGGATGTATGTATCTAAGGATGAGTGTAAAGGTTAGACATTCACCTACTAATATTGAAAGAGCATACATAATGTATTTAAACATGCATAAACCTGCAGTAGTCATTTAGAGTAATGCACTTAGCCAACAAAAAGGACCCAGTGAGAGACCTGCTGCAGGAAAGATGATACATATACACAGACACATTCATACAAGAGGCTGCAGGTATAATAACGTTACAACCAGATTTGTAATAAGATTCAATGGGTGACCACTAAAGGATAATTACAGTTAATTCCAGTTGAGGTCTTATTATTGTAGCTGTGGGCATTATGGCCTGACATGGGTTTGGTCAGATAATGTTGTACTGATGGGCATGAAACATGGGACGTCAGGTGATCTTACAGGTTTTAAACAAAAGACACTGTTAGCTTGATTATCTCAACCACAGAAAGTGAGCCTTCAGTGAACCTGAAATATTGCTTATAATGCATATTTCCACAGGAAAACTGTGTATGTGCACAACCATAGTGGCTCCAGCATTATTATTTGAAACGGACCCATGAAAAAACTACACAAACCAGACTAGCATTATTTTAAGAGAGCAAGAGAAGAGATAAGACCTGATCTACAATGGTGATGGGGCTACTGTAGGTAAAAAACTGAAAATAAATTTGCGGAGCAGGGGAAGGGGGGTAAAAATGTGAGAAAAAAAAGAATTTCCAAAATTAAAGTGGTAAATTTAAGAAAAAATATAAAGAAACAGGGCCCAAAGAAAGCTGCTCAACCTTGCCGCCAGTTTTTCCCAGTGTCAACTTGAGGTGCTGCAGAGGGAAAAAAATAATGCCCTGTGGCCTGAAAGGCATTTTCCCCATAGACTACTATTATAAAAGAGACATCTGTAAAACTGTTGACAAAATAGCTCAAAGGTCTGTTAGAACTTTTTATTATGGATCATTGCGGGATTCATTTTGACAGCTATTTTAGATTTAGTTTTAGTCATAGCCTTAAGACAAAAATTCTTATTAGTTTTAGTCACATTTAAGTCACTTTTATCCTTCAGAGCTTTAGTCTAGTTTTAGTCGATGAAAATTAAAGACATTCTAATTCATTTTTAGTCATTATGTTTTTTAAATCTTTCAACTAATCCAGTTAGACTAATGCAGGTATCACAAATTGGAATCAAGGTGACAGGTTGTATTAACAAAAAAAAAATTATTTAGACATTTTTTTTCTACAAATAAACTCCACACACTTAATATGTCATTTCTCCAGCAGTGTTTGACAGGTGGTTTATGAGCACACACTTACTGATCATCATTTGAAAAACCTCAACATTCCTCTATTTATGCTCTGACAAACTTTGACACCACAAATAACTAATCTAAGACAACTAGGAAACTCTGATCAATCTCACTGTTTAGAAGCAAAAAAAATATCCTAATTAAAGCCTGAATTCTTCCTCAATCTGCAACATGACAGTCTGGAGGTTTAAACTTCTTATGGAGCTGGTGATTAAAACTAGACTTTCATCTCTGTCAGAGAAAATTGATCTGAGTTCAGACTGTTTACTCACAGCACAGCTAAGTTACACTCACAGATAACTGAGCCTCCTACCTGCCTGTCAAACAGCATCAACCCATAAACCTTCCTGTCCTGCGGGGGGATCAACAGACGTGAAGTCCGGGCGGCCGCTGGCTGCTCGTTTCGCTGCGACTCAGCGGCTAACAACCGGAGCTAACTGCTAATAGCTAACGCTAGTAACCAGCGTACTCCGCAAATCCACTCAGCAGTTCCACCATGCACAGTCAGACACACACTGCTGTTTATCTGCTGCTGAATTACGGCTCACAACTCACACTAACGGCGGACGTTGCTCCGGTGTGAGTGTTTTTGCTGGCTGGCCAAACATCCTGGCGCAGACTATTTACTGGACTTTACCTGCCTGTTGCTCACGCGGCATTTGAAGATAATTACAAGCATGGCTATTCTCGGCTTTCAAAGTCCCATAGTCCACCACGAACATCTTTGTCACGTCTCGTCTCGACAACGAAAATAAAACAATGATTTCGTCTTAGTTTTTAGTTCCATTGAGGTTTTATATTTGTAAAACTTTCCCTGAGTCGGCAAAATCTATTTTAAAATCCGTGACATCATCGCGATATTAAGTCTACAAGCTGAACAGGTGAGCAACTCCACTGGAATGAATCGGCGCCATCTTGGGATCCAGGTAGAAATTATTATACATCTATGTAAAAACAAACAAACAAACAAAAAAAACTCACAAATTAAAGCAACTCTTACCTTTCTGGAAATTTTACACTTTTCTTTGTTTAGGTTAAAATGTTATTAATAAACTGATGGCACACTAAAATGTAAGTGAATTCCACCAGAGATAAAAACTCATAATTATACGACTCTCATATGGTTCTAAGAAAACTCCGACCAATCATTGCATTCCGATCGAATGGAATGATTGGCAGAGCATCCTGTCTGTCTTCCCCACGTGGAGGCCTCCACTAATGCTACAGTAACATCTCAGTCATCATTGACCCCAGATAAGTTTCAAAACTCCAGGGTTGCGTTTGACTGTGCAGGACAGGTAACGTTATGTTTAGTTTGCTTCTAATATAACTTATAGGCTAACGTTATAACAGCACAGCATCCAGTTGCTAATGGCTAACGTTAGCCTACTGTAGCATAGCCTCTGAAACATTAACGTTATCTTCCTTGTGCGTTTCCACTTACTAGTATCGTTAACGCTACTGTCTAACGTTAGCACTGTAACCTCATTCTAAAACTCATCAGTCATCACTAACTCCGGTTGAGTTTTAAAACTCCGGGGTTGCGTTTGACTGTCTTGGTTGTAACATTACTCTGGCCCTCCTCTTCCGTGTATCTAACGTTACCTTGCCAACACTTACGTCTATCATAGACGTAATGAGGACATAATGGAGGAGGGGGAGTAGGCCTTTGGGGGGAGGCAGGAGTTGTGATTGTTCAAATTTTTTCTAAGTGCTGTGTGAAATGCAAGAAAGGTAAGAGTAGCTTTAACTGCCAGGAAGTCAGATGACAACATATAGCTGACAACATATTGCTATAGATAGCAACAAAGTCCACATGGGGAGGAAGTCGTGGTCAATGGATGGGTCAAGCAAAGGACTTTCAACTAAGAGACCAGGATTTGTGTCCCATGTGAGTCGACATGGGCTCATCATTTTTAGACTTGGTAGATTTATTATTGTCAGTTTAGGATGTATAAAGCTGCTGAATGCAAGTTTAAACGTACATCAAGATGCCCATTTGGTCCAAAAATAGTTCCAAAAGAAAGTTGAGCCGACATCCAGGATATTACATGGCCATCAGCTGATCATTTCCGGATGTCCTACAGTACCAACGTTGAAATATGACGTTAACATGAACAGGCCTATTTGGCTATTCTGCTGAGGTTTATGTACACTGTGCATTCAGCAGCTTTATATGTCCTAAAAACCAATAGATAATAAGAAAAACAAGAAGTCAACACTGATTTGCATAGGACACAAACCCCAGTCTTCTGTGTGAAAGTCCTGTGCTTGACCCACTCATCTGCCACCACTTCCTCCCCACATGGACATTGTCACTCTTTGCGTCACCTAAAAAACTTTATTTTTGTAAACTGACCACTTTTTTCTCTGGATATTACCTCCTTCCCCTGGCTCCGTATATTTGTTTTTGACCTGCAGTGACCCTAAAATGCCATGGTATTGATTAGTGGCAGATGCAATACTCTTGTACAATTACAAATCCTGCATGTTAGAGAATTGCCTCCTCCCTATTTCACATGGTCAGATAGAGGTGACAGAGGTGAGCTTGTAGCTGAATGATTGCTGGCTTATGTGGGGGATTCTCTGTGAGGAAAGACTCTCTCCTCCCTCAGCAAATATCATCAAGGTGACTGTGCAGTGTGTACTGAGAATCTCCCAGGGGTGTGTGCAACTGTGACCAGAATAAAATCTATAAGAAGATTTGGCATCTCTCACCTCGAACGTGCTGCCCGTGTTGTCAAATTCAGGTGGCACAAAGGACCCTTCCGGATCATCTGCAAGGACGAAAACGTACCAATTAACTGCACCATTAAGCATGTCTGAAAAGCGTACGGCATGTCTGTCACCACAAAGGGGACAAACGGAGCATTTGTTGTTTGATGTGAACACTGTGATGTATTGCCATGTCAGTTCTGTACTGTAACCTACTTGCTAAGCCTCCGCAGTAATGAGATGCAAATCAGAGGAATATGTTAAACCACAACAGTCCAGTGAGCTAGTGCAGCCGTTTCCCTTCATTTGCTTAATTCATGTGTCAGAGATAATCCCTGACAAACAAGACAGGAGCTATCTGCAGATCAGAAAATGAGGCAGCCGCTGAGGAGCAGCGTGGCATCCTCCTGCTCCTCCCCCTCCCCCTCCTCTTTCTCCTCCTCAAATAGGCCACTGCTCTGGCTATAAGCAGGACACACAGAGACATGAAAACACCACCACAAACATGTTCTGCCTTGACTGGACTTAGGACAAGTGAGGGAGAGACGCACGTGGAGACAGAGGGAGGGAGAGAGAGGTTGTAGGCAGGGCTGGAGGAGGAAGAGAGAAGGAAAGGGAAGGAGGGGAGTAAAGTGGGTCATGACAGATCTGGGTTTGTCTGCTGGAGTTATGATCCCTCCCAGGTGTAGTGAGGCCAATCTCCATTTCTCCTCTCCTCCTTAGCCGTTTTCATCTCCTCTCCTCTTCTTTTTCTTTCCTATCCTATGCTTCCCATTTTCGTTTCCTTCCCATTTATTGCCTTGGGTCTTTCCTTTCCTCATTTTCTTACATTCTTCCTTTCCTCTCTGAAATTCCTTACCCCTTGCCTTTCTTTATCTTTCCAAATTTGTTCCTTTCCCTACCTTTCCTTTCCTCTCATCACCTTTTTAACTTCCTCTCCTCCTAGTCTTTTTTCATATCATGTCCTCTTTTCCCCATTCTCTTTTTCATTTACTTGCCCATCCTCCCCATTTTCTTTCCTGCTATCTCTCTCTTATCCTCTCATCTTTCCTTTCCTCACTGTCGCTACCTTTCCATTCCTCTCCCCACCTTCTTAACTTCCACTCCTCACAAGCCTTTTTTAATCTAGTCTCCTCACCTATCCTGCCCCTTTTCCTTCCCTTCCCTTTCAATCCCCCTCCTTTCAGTCCTTTCCTCTCCCCTTATCTTTGTTTTACTCACCTCTTTACTTCCCATTTCCTTCCCTTCCCTTTCCCCATTTACCTCCATTTTCCCCTCTCCCCTCTTAATTTCCTCACCCCTTCCTTTTCTTTAACTACCCATTTTTTCTTTTCCCTTCTTTCTATTCTTTCTCCCCTTCCCTTTTCTTTACTATTAACTTCTCTCCTTTTTCATTTCCTTTCCCACTTTTCCTTTCCACTTATCACCTTTCCTAATTAGCCTTTTTTCATCTCTCCTCATTTTCCATTTCCCTTTTTCCTTTACGTGCCTATCCTTCCCAATTTCCCTTCCTTCCCTTTCCTGCCTATTCCCCCTCTCCTCTCCTCTCTTCTCCTCTCCTCACTTTTTCTTCCCCTTCCTTTCATCTCTTCTTTTTCATTTCTTTTCTCTACCTGTACCCACCTCCTTTAATTCCTCCACTTCTTAGCATTTTTCAGTCTCTTCACCTGTCCTCCCCCCTTTTCCTTTCCTTCCCTTCCAATCATTAGTTCCTTTTTTCATTACCTTTCTTTCACTCATCTCTTTCTTTTCCCACTCTCTTCTCTCCACACCTTTTAATTTCCTCCCGTCTTTTGCCTTTTTTCATCTCCTCTTGCATCCTCTTTCCATTCCTCGCGTCACCATTTTTCTTTCCTCCCCTCCCATGCTTTTTCCATCTCCTCTCCTCTCAGAGAGGTTGACAGTTCAAACAAACAAGTGGAAAGGGACAGATGGGAGGAAAAGAGAGAGACAAAATATTTAGACCCTGTGTAGTCAGGAGGAACTGTAACATGGTGAAATAGGTGGTGAATTCTAGAAAAAAAAGGCAGGGGTTGTCAGTGACGCAGTTGCCTCCGGGGTGATGGTGAGAGCTTGGTGAGTCATGAACGCCCTCAGCATTTTAGCACAACAGGTAGTAAGAGCTGAGAAATATTACTGATTCCACACAAATAGGCTGATCAGATTTCCCACAGAGCACACGGTTTTATCAGAAATGGAACAGCTTGCGATGCTTAACCTTGGCAGTATTCCTTGGTCATCGTTGTAAGAAAACCATCAGAGGACATTTTGTTACTTTGTCTGGCTGCTGGTGGCAGCACTGCCACAACACCCACAGTCACGAACAACTACCTTCCTGCTATTACTGCAGTCATTAATTAGCTGAAATGAACACTATTGATGAGTCGTTGTGGCAACAGCTATTCTCGCTGAGATTCATCACCACAGCGCTCAAGGTCACTCTATTATACAGCTGTACAGGGGGAGCCTGTTTGTGTGGGAGCATGGGATTGGTCGTCGAAGTGTGAGTCAGCTTGAAATTTCATCACTATCGCACAAAGAGCTCAATTAAAAGCAATGAATGGGAAACTGTGCAGCAAGTAAAGCGGATTGCGCAGTGTTTTGATTAATGATGTAGATGCACTCTGTTCAGCATGAACAACCAACACAAGAAGGGTAATGTCGGCACTGCAGATTCTTTTTCTATCCACGGGATGAATCACAGCCCAAGGACTCAACACAATCCAATAAAGCATGACAACAAATGAGGCTGCGAAGGATTTCAGCTGACAAAGTAATCAAAACAACTCTTCAAAGTTTCTGTATAACTGACTGGAGATTTGTGTTGAGATAACAAAAAAAAAAAAAAAACAAGAATGGATGCAACACTTTGAAGGATGCCGTGTGTGTATGTGAGTGCAAGTTGACTGCTGATAGGCGAACCAAGCTGTTACCACAACAACGACCCCCCTGGCATGTCTAACTACTGGTGAACTAATCAATGCTTATCAGTTTATTGATGTTTGGCATCACAGCATGGGATAAGTGCGTGCCACAAGTGTGGAGATGGAGAGGGAATGAGAAAGAAAAACAGAGAATATCAGAGAGAAAGGAAAGACAAGAGAGGGCAGAAGATGAGAAGAGGTGAGGAATAATAATTCCTGACACTGTTTTTCATCGGATGTCACGGGAAGAGCTGTGAAAGAGAAGGATGTTTGCATGCAAATCAGAGCAGACCCAAAGTCCAACAGTGAGACACTTATGTATTTTCAAGCAGCAATTTGAAGGAGGAAAACTTACACAAATCAGGAGAGCTTAAAACGCAGTTGCAGGACAATGTCACATTTAAACTCTGCAATGCAGGTCTGATCTAAAATGTTTTGATTTCTGGTTGCTAAATGTGCAGGCATGAGAAGATCTGTGTAATGATAAAAACAAGATACCAGTCAACTTGATCAGTAGCATGTAAGATGAAGGCAGGATATAAGCCAAATATGTAAAAAATGCTAATTAAAGGGCAAACAATGTCCCAAAAATGGTTTAATTATTACACAAATGTGTAAATGACCCTGTGTGTCCATGCTGTAGACTCACCACTGAGCTGCTCCATGAAGCAAACATTCCCATGAGCGTTGAAGGCCAGAGTGTCCGGTGTTATGCACAGGGTGTGGAAGAGGTGGGAGGGTCGGATGCTCTGCAGCGCCAGGACGCACTCTGCACACACCGCCCACACCTCCTCCTCAGACAGACAGCTGTCCCGCAGTGACAGGATGTCTGCCAAAGATACATTCTCCTGCGGACAGACACACATACAAGGATGTCCAGGTAAGTGCACACAAACATATATACAGTTAATACACACACACACACACACACACACGCACACTATGTTAGTTGTATTACACTGTAAAAAAAAAAAAAAAGAAAAAAAGAATTAGGTTGTTTGAATTTCTTCAACCCTGATCTGCATCAGTGCTCTCGTTTAATCCAGTGCTTATAGGAGGGCAAATGTTAATAGGAACTCTATTAATCCCTTTTGTCAAATTTTTTTAGCTTGTAACCATTTAGCATTTAGCTAGGTCGGCCATTTGCTGTTGTCTCAAAACAATAGGGGACAGAAGGAAGCAGAGCGCAACAACTAATTAGAGCTGAACCCACACAACACTTGCAGTAATTCATGTCAAGTTGGGCACGTGATATTTGGACCACATCTGACCCACACAACACTTACCATAACCCAAATCAGGCCCCGGCTCTTTACATGTGGGAGCTGTCTGGCTCACGCAACACTTGCAGGTGCCGTAACTGAGTCGTAAGTGCCAAAAGTGTCCCAGATTAGGCCTAAATGTGTCTGCTATCTGGATACTTACACAGACATAGAAACTAGAAACTTCCAAGTCAAGTCCGGCAAGCTACTTTAATATAATGATTCAGCTACTTCAGAAAGCAGTTTTAATGGGGAGGGGACTCTCTGCAGCACATCATACATTTTAATATCAAGCCATAGAGACCAGAAGGCAGAGCATTCACGTTTCCTTCCACTCCATGAGCACCTAAACGCACCACCAAACAAGAGTTTTCAAAACAGTCCCTGCTCTCTACTGCGCTCCAGTCAGCCGCCTCATGTGGAACGGATTTATTAAAATGTAAATACAGAGTGTGCAAAGTTAAAGTGTGGCGTTAAGGCTGTGACCTCATCACTTTCTGCAGCACAGAGGGGAGCTGGAGGGAGATAACAAAGTTCTGCCTAAAGCCTGGAGAAACTAGACTTTACAGGTGGATGCTGAGGTGGAGATGAGTACTACATAACACAGTGATAATGCAATGTTGGCATCAGGAGCAACATGGCAGCTTTAACAAAGTGCCTTCTTGCAAAGATACAGATAGCGAGATAAGGCAACCAAATGGGAATGTCTGGTTTTGGCTAATCTGGTGAATCGAAGATGCCCTGTTGTGTTTACATTTGGTGTTCAACGCCAAAAAGCACTGTCTATCCCTGAGGTCTAATGCTGTGTTCACATAAAATCAGGGAGACGATAGATAGATTTTTTTATATAGAGATTTTTTCACTTTAGTGGATGAGAGCAGGACGGTCAAATTAGGTTAGGCTGGTAGAGAATATCCACAACAGTAATGGTAGACAAATTAAAATATTTTAACTTTTTGAACTTCCTTGTAAAACATTAGCAATGCCCATTTTTAAGTATTTTATCTTCACCATTGTTTATGTCCATGTTAACTAGCAAACAGTCTTTTTCTTTTCTGCCTTTGTGATGTATTTTTGCTTATCTTGGGTCATTACTGCCACCTCTGTAGTGTAACCATAGGGTAAAACTGCTGACCATAGAAAAACTGTTACATTGCACAACCAGAGCTTAAAAAAAATAAATCCTGTCTCAATGATTAATAGCACTGTATGCAATGGTGAAATACAGGGGTCTCAAATTCAGATTACCTGGTTGCTACTACCCAGTTTGTTCTCTAATAGCCCCCTAAGACTCTGTGTCCTCGTATGAGGACTATTACATTTTGGGTTTTCTGCACCTTATACTTAGGCTGACCAAACGTCCTCTTTTGCCTGGACATGTCCACTTTTCACGTCCTGTCCGGGGCGTCTGGGGGGTGTTTATAAATTGATGATAATGTCCCGTTTTCCGAACCGAGCCCGACATTATTTAATTACTAAAGCACTGAGTTTGTGTCACACAGTTGTTATGGTTACAGGCTATTTAACAGGCGAGAGGGAGAGACCTCTGCGTTTGAGACGGGAGCGGGCGGCAGGAGGTCCGAGGCTTCCAGTCAGGGGAGAGGGAGAAATATAACAAAATAAGATAAAATAGGAAAAACCTGTCTCCCTCTTTTATTTAATTTTCAGCGTTTAATCAAGGCGGAGGCGGGTGGCGGAAGGTCTGATGCTTCCAGCGAGGGGAGAGGTAGAAACAAACAGCCAATGTGTGTGTGTTCTGTTCAGGTATTGTCACGTAAATAACAGTCCCCAAGCAATAAACAGGACAGACAATAGGATTTTATTTATTTTTACACTACATTTTCACTGAAAGCTGACCGAATCCGACTCGAGCCCGAATACAATTTATACATTTTTGACCGAACCCGGCCCGACCCGTCGGGTAGGCCTACCGTCAGGACCCGTCGGGCTCAGATTAGGTAGCCACACTCTAGTGTGTGTATGTGTCCCCTATCTATAGGGGCCTATCTGAATTTCTGTCTTTGAGAGATATTATTTGTAATATAACTGAATTTTCTATCCATATAAACTTTAAATATATTAAAATTATAAGGCATCTTTGAGTAAACTGCGAGTATCATTTAAAGGGAAATTTCAGTTTATTTCAACCCGTCTCCTATCGTCCTAAATTTGTTTCAAGTCACTAGTGACTTAAAAATAATAGTTAGCATGTTAGCCATTAGCCTAGATACAGCTGTAGTGTCAGACCTGTTAAAACGTAATTGAACGGGCATCCTTTCAAGTGCAGAGTTAGTCCACTAAACAAGCTTTTTCTCCACAAAGACCGCCTCATATCGTTACCTGTAAGGTAAGACAACACATTTACATGTCGTTTTCTATATGTTCTCTGACATTTATCCTAACGATATGAGGCGGTCTTTGTGGAGAAAAAGCTTGTTTAGTGGACTAACTTTGCACTTGAAAGGATGCCCGTTCAATTACGTTTTAACAGGTCTGACGCTACGGCTGTATCTAGGCTAACGGCTAACATGCTAACTATTATTTCTATGCCACTAGTGACTTGAAACAAATTTAGGACGATAGGAGACGGGTTGAAATAAACCAAAATTTCCCTTTAAGTAGGCTATCTTGTGGCCGGGCCGAGTGTCCTCTTTTTTGGAAATCAAAATATGGTCACCCTACGTATACTTCATTCTGCTTAACTAAGACCTGCTAGTGGTAGCAAAAGCACAATACACTAATCCATGTAAAAATGTAAAAACAAGATGGCAGCAATGTCTGCCAAGTCAGTCTGCAGCTGATCTCGACGCAAAAGTGGTCAAGGTACAAAACCTGCTCAAATTTAATGGTTGAAACTTGTTTACGAATGATTCATAATGTTTGTTGTTTGATATGCCATTGATATGCAGTTTGACTAAGTTTAGCAATGGTAACAAGCTAAGACACTGTTAATTAGAAAGTATTTGTTTGAAGATATTGGGAATTTATCATCAGTTCATTTGAGGACATTGAGACTTTAAGCTTGTCTTGTTTGAGGATATTGGGACTCTATTATCATTGAAAATGTTTAGGGTTTTTTTATACTTATCTGGTCCTACTAATTCCAAATAGCTAGGAGAAATTAAAAATGCATACCAAACAGAAGTTCAGGTCTCTGGAGGATGGAGAAACTTCTTCAAGAACAACAAAGTAAAACCTCATGTTTTTGTTCAGCAATACATTTGAACTGTATTCACTCTAAGGCTGAGAAAGTCATCTTTCCTTCCTCACCACACCTGTCATACTGATGTGTATGTTCAGTGATGCTGTTTGAGATTGTACTCCTGGAGAACTCCATCTTTCTCTATGTAGGTGAGAAAGGTGGAAGCTGCGTTTGTCCTTGAGAAAGATGCAGTTGTTCACCTCTCTTGAAACTGTCTGTCCTCTATAGCTCAACCTTTGTTTTAGGTGTAGAAAAAGACAGTATAATGTCATGTGCACTGCAATAAATATAATTCAGTCAGGACCACGAGGAAAGCCTGAGGCAGAGAGAGCAAACCTTCCTGCTCTTCCATGCGCCTACATGGAAGGGCTGAGGCAGAGAGAGCAAACCTCCCTGCTCTTCCATGCGCCTACATGGAAAGCCTAAGGCAGGGAGAGCAGCAGCAAAGACCCCCCAGGACCATAACAGAGCAAGCATCAATGACAAACAGAAATGACATTGATAAGTTCGACACAACATGAAAAGGAGGAGCTGGGGTGGAGTTGGGTTGCAAAGCAGCTCGCAGAGGATGCAGCAACAGTAGGCAGGCCAAAGCAGTTTAAATAGAGCACCCTAAATGAGATTTTCCAATTGGCTGCATAATAAGGAATCATGCTGATGTAGCTGGGATGTGAGCTGAGCTTGACATTGTATCCTGCCTGAGCTAAGGCTGTGCTTAATGTGTTGTGGCAAGTCACATTTGGAGCCTTGCTAGAAAATCTAATACTTCAACAGTTTTCTTTAAGTACATTTGCCAGCTGTTTTGTACAATAAACATGTTAGTGTGTATAGTGTAGTGTGTATAGTGTAGTGTGTATAGTGTAGTGGTCAATTTGTGTCACAGGTTGGTGGTTTGAGGTCCTTATGGATATTGAACAGAGAGTTACCTCTGCATATGCTGGATATCAAAGTCTCTGCAGGTTAAGACACAGTATTTCTGTCATCTCATAGTATATGTTGTCATATGTATAGATACTGGAAATGTGCTGCAAAATACACAGGGTATCACATGACTGCAGCATGAACCAGGCTGTTGGCCTGAACTCGCTCACAGGCTCCAATATCACACCCACTGAATAAGCTTGAATTTTTTAATGAAACAAAAACTGACATGCTGATATCTTGCATTGTAATTAAGAATGAAGAAGTAAATGCAAACCTCAGGCTTCTCTTGAGACATTTATCTAAATTTCGAGAAAACACCTGTGGGCTAGAATTTCACATAATAAAGCCCACAGCACAAAGATCTTAGTTTTGTGGAAATGATCTATCCACTGCAACATGACAGCCTGTAGGACTGACAGCAGAGTCATTATATAAAAGTATGATCTTAATTATGAGAAACTGTGAATAGCCCTGCCTGTGTCAAATTCAAGCAGTAACCCCCGGGCTGAAAAATGAAGGTGCAAAAACTCATCAAATGGTCATCTGAGGCCTCAACCTCCATGTTAAAATGCCCAACTTTGCAGCAGAAATAAACATGTCTACAGTCTCACGTACAAAAAACAAAAACGGTTTATGTCTCTATAGCTTATTTCCCATTCATGACAACTGTAACCGGGTAAGTGTCATATAACTCACCTGATGATGCAATTACGTTGGTTAGGTAATATGACCATGGTGTAAAATGGCACTACATTTGATGCGGAGTGCATTATGACTTGTTTAGGACTTGAAACTCAAAGTTTTGGATTTGGGACTCACCTGTCTTGACTTGGAACTTGTTGGCAGAGACCTGAGAGTTAGGGCAGTTTCATAGTCGACGCAAAGGCACGCAGACGCGAATGCACTGGGACGCATCGAGATGCATTGGCCACCATGATGCATACTTGCGTCTCAAAATGTGTTGTCTATTTTTTGATACGCGACACAGCGGCGCGTGTAATACCATGCGTTGCCAGTGGGGTTGATAATGCAAGCGACGTACTTGAAATTAACCACTTTTTGTTATTCACAGAAGAAGCAGGTATGAGATATGGCGGGCCAGGAGGAAAAACTTTGTGAACTCGTACAGGCACACCCCCATTTATATGACAGTTCTGGTGCCCTGCACTCTAGCCGTACTAGCTAGCTACAGCAGTACTAGCTAGCCAGAATGTACCGGTGACTCTGCTACCCCCTATTGTGCGAGCGATGTATTGCATTTCAAGTGTCGCCCGCGTCACTTGCGTTCAGTGTGTTGACTGTGAAAGCAAGTGCGTTGCTCACATCACTTGCGTCGCTTGCTCACGTTGCATGCGTCGACTGTGAAACGGCCCCTACTTGTGACTTGCAAAACACTGACTTGGCCCACCTCTGTCTGGTCTATGGTCATATTTTATTAAAAAATTATTATTATTAAAAACATCACCTTGAACAGTGTTCTAATTTTTACACTAGCAGCAGAAAATCCTGAATTTTCTTTAGTAGCAAGGGCATTTGGTACACAAAGTACATCCTGTACACATACACACACACTTTTTATGCCATGAAGTGACTTTACACACCCACATGAACACACTACATCATCTGTGATCCACTATTACCAAATGGCCCCATTTATCCTTGGCAGACGCAGTGATCTCAGATATTCCACACGACATCCGACATAATGCTGTGGTCTCATCATTACAGAATCTTCTGTTCGGTTTGCAAGTGAGCACAAAAGCTGGCCTTAACTCAGACAGAGGGGTGGGAGAGGGGAGTGTGGGGTATCACAAAGCAGCAACTGTCAAACACTATATCCAGTACTTTATCTTCCATGACATTATTTATGCCACACCAGAGTATCCCTCAATAGGAACTTATTTTTACTCTTGACTGTGAAAGTCTTAATGTCTGGATTGTCTTTCAACAACTGAAAATGACTGTATTATCTCTGACTGGCTGCAGCAGAAGTGTCTATCTGAATTGCTCTATGACTCTCTTGTAGGTGCAGGAGAGTTGCGGCAGATTGTGAACAAAGCATATCGATGTGATCTAGTGGGGTTGAGCACAATTACAGGGCAGAAAAGTGCCACTTCAAGCAGCAGCAGCAGCAGCAGCAGCAGCCCCATAAATAGACAGTTTCCCTTGAGAACAGTGCAGAGGAAAGCTGGAAGTCTCTCTCACCCCCCTCAAGTTAAATATGCTGTCCTACATAAGTTTGCCTCTGAGCTCCAAGGTTCTGATTAGACGGGGGGTGTGCACGCTGAGACTGAGAGGAACAGTGGAGGAAAGTGGCAGTAGTCAATGTATTAATGTTTGACTGAAGTTCCGTAACACTTTCAAACGCACATTACTCAAGTACAGTTTTCAGATACTTGCACTTCACTTGAGTACATCAATTTTATGCTGCTTTATGCTTCAACTCAGTTACATATCAGATGGAAATATTGTACTTTTTACTGCGCTACATTTATTTTACTGCTAAAGTTTATACATATGGTAAGCTTTCAAAATACAATACATTGGCTTGTGACACAAGTCTGGTCACATTTAACATGTTTACAAGTTGTTTGCAGTTCTACCAAAGAGTGATTTACCCTCCAAACTTTCATTTCATTTTAATAGCGGTTCAATGCTGAAATAGGTAATATTAGGGCTGGGCAATATCGATATTATATCAATATCGTGATATCAGACTAGATGTCATCTCAGAATTAAGATAAAGTGTTGTCTTCTCCTGGTTTTAAAGGCTGCATTAAGTAAATTGATGTCTTTTTTTTTAACTTACAGACTGTTCTGTTCCTCTATTATTTGCCTTCACCCACTTAGTCATTACACCAACAATACTAATGATTATTAAAAACTTTATTCTATAAATACCTTGCAAAAGCACCAATAGTCAACCCTACAATATGGATGCAATATTTCATAAAAAAATATTTTAAATAATTTAATTTTCTGTACAATGCCCCACACTAGGTTAAATTATTCAATATTTCACGGAAAAAGAGAGAGAAATAATTCAGTCCAATGTCCAAAGAATGAAAACAAATGCATGTGCTTATACCATTGTACTTTTCCTTCAGTAGATTTTCGAATGCAGGCCTTTTACTTATTTTTTTAGATTATTGGTACTTTTACCTTACTCTAAATACTTCTGTCTCTGGTATTAGGAAGAAGTTGTGACTGCTGCTTGGGTGACAAAGAATGCAGCATCAATGTGGTGCAGACCTTTGACATTTCATCATGAAATTCTGAGTCCTGAGGCAGCTAATGTGCAATTCCATTATTCTTACAGCCTAACCAAAGGCCTTAAGAAAGCCTCTGCAACTGATTTACCTCTTAAACATAAAATAAAAATGAATCACAACATTTATTATAACATCCATATAAAATCAGTCTCACCTCATCCTCCAGCAGAGGTGGCAGATGCTCCAGATCATAATAGCCGTCTCTGTCCTCAGTTTTCCCCAAGTATGTGACCGCTGCATCACTCTCCGAAGTCTCCATTGCAGCAACTTTGATTCCCTCAAGTAGTAAAGCGAACGTCGGCCCAGACAACAGTGTTTCCAGTCGAGACAGATGGCATGCCTGAGCTCTCTGGGTACACCGAGCACACACACTACTTGCTGCAGTCCCGGCAGTCAGTCGATGGTCACTGCGGGACACTATGGTCCAAAAACAACGCCGGGGAGAGCGAGGGAAGCGCAGCAATGCGCCTGAGAGGAGCGTCCACAGCGAGCCGTGGGAGGAGGCGGAGGTGGTGGGGGGAGCTGGCCGGTGTTTGAGGCTGTCATGACTACTACACCTCCACACTAACAGGCGACACAGCGAAGGCGATCATGAGCTGCAGTTTAGTGAATCCTCCCCTCCGAGTGGAGGAGCCAGTGCTGGCAGAGCTGCCTGCATGCTACAGTTGGCTGCACGCCTCCGCTCACAGAGCCGTGTGAGTGACTCATATTCAACACTTTATTATCTCCTCTTATTCCTGTGATCTGGATTTGACTGGATATTATGCCATTAATGCATGTGCTGTCAGTTTCATTATTCCACTGTACTGTCTGTGTGTCTGTTTGCAAATGGTCTTTGTTAAGCCTGCTATAATTCTGCCAAAATTCTAAAAACAAAAATCAGAATGAGACATTTATCATTATACAATTGAATTTAAGAACAGCTACATTTATTGTAGAAATATTGTAGTTTTTTTGTCATTCCTGTGGCAAAGACGTGACTGATACCCAAACTATAGACCCACAGGTCAAAGGTTATCGATCCAAAAATAATCATGAATTGAAATAAGAGTGCAAGTGTCACTGGCTTACTCTACATCCTCTTGCAGCCCTCTCTTTAAAGGGTCAGTACTACCCAAAAAATCCCATTTACCCCTGGTGTAGTAGTCCAGGTAAGCAGGTTGTGGACTGGGCAGTTAGAGTGAAACAGGCTGGTTTCATGCACTGTTGGCATGTATACCTACAGATGGAATGCACCAGAATTTGTCTATAGGCCTAATGCACATAATTGGTAAAGGCTGCAACGTGACCAATGTGCTGACAGAAGTAAAGAAGGAAGTAGTATTAAGAGCAAAAGTCCGCGTAAGGAGGCAGGTTGGAGTGGTTTACAGGACAGGACTTTCCCCCAGGAGATCAGTGTTTGTGTCCTGTGTGAAACCAAAGACCCGTTTCCACCAAAAACTTTCACTATAGTAAAATTGGAACCAAAAACCCCTCAGACACAGTTTCCACCGCAAACAGTACTCTTTAATGTGAGCAAGGTTGTTGTCACTCACTGCTTTATCCAGCACTTGCTGTATTTCTAGTATTTTTCACCACTGGAGGACAGGTAGGCGTGGAGATCATGATTACATTTACATATTTTTTATTTTATATTTTATTTTTGTTTATCCCTATATTTTAATTTGCACAATCCTATGTCCTAGATTCTCATTGTGTTTTTTCTTACTTGCACAACTGTCTTTTTTATACATACATATTTAATGAGCATTGTTGAACAGAGCCTGAGATCCACTGACTGCTTCTCTGTTATTCTTGTGCATTCGTAATAAAGGACTTGAAACTAAAGAATGGAACACACTCGGGAAAATTACTAGACAGGGAGGGAATGGCAAGGTTTAAAATACATCTTTTTTATAGCAGACATTTTGAATCTAATAATACCATTAACAATGGCATAGTTCCAATGAAGTGTAAGCATGCACAATTCCAGGCCCTACATACACCAGTGGAAACTCAAGATGATTTTATGAATACAGACTTGGTCATGTAAGAGTCAGAAATATCTTCCATTGACAATATACAACTATTGGTTGTCCTCCATGTTTGTTTGCTTTTAGAAATTCAAAGTTTCCCAGTCTTGGATGTTGATGTAAACCCTATTTACAAGTTTGAAACTCAAAATTACTACAGCTCCTGTGGGACGTGAACATGGCATAAACACCTAAATAGAGTAGAGCAGTCATTAATTGCACACCTGTGCTGCTTCTGCTTTGACAAGACAAAATGTCAGATGTTAGAAGCTGACAGAATAATAATGAAGAGGCTGCCACCATGACACCTGGTGGTAGCAATGCAGATAATTTTGGATTTATTTTGAGGAATCTCTTGAAATCTACTGACCTAGAGGATTACAGGTTCTAATGAAAATTGCTCACAGTTTCCATTTAAACAGTTTTCTACCATAGAAATAGACCCTATTTGCTCAACAGTGTGCTCTGTGGTTTATCCAGAGTAACACAGTTATTTATAGTTTATTGAAGATGTCATTTTCCAAGTGCTGAGCATCCGAATTTTTATGCCATTTGGGTGAACTGACCTTTCAGTTGCTACCAGTCATTCCCAGCCATTCTGTCAAACATTCAACTTCCTATAAAGGTATTCCTGTGACCTGCACCTCTAAAATGACCCACCTTTAGAAACCTTTAAAGACCTACCTATGGAGGAAGAAACACAAAGGACAGAGTTGTTTGAGCATGTCAGCATTTTGAAGTCTTTAACGGTATCACAACTAAACACCTCCTCAAGGCAGTTTTAAGTGTGGAGCCTGCATAAACTGCCACAATACCAAAAGTCTCAAGTCTTTTAACCCTCCTGCCTTTGGAAAGACCACCAGCATTAAGGATTTCATTACCTGCAAAACAAAATAGTGTTTTGAAGATACAGCGCCCTGTGGTAGTACACACAGGCGAGATCTCACTTTCCTTTAAAGAGCGTATCACTGAACAAACAAGCTCCATTAAGTGAAATGATGTAACTAGTCCTGTTGCAAGACATTTCAGTGAAATGCAACATCACATTTTATCTTTATTTTTTATAGACATAGAAATGATTATGTAAGTCCAACCAAAGATGCGGTAATGTCGGTTTTCTGGGAAAATCTCACAAGTTAGTTTCATGACTTATTAAAGTGCTCTGCTTCCAGATGTTTTTTAGTTTTGTAGTTTGATCTTATGACCTCTTCCTTTTTTTGCATTGTATCTTTGCTTTTATATATGTAACCCCATCTATGTCTTGTTCCAGCAGCCCATTTCTCATCAGGTTGCCCTGGTTCCTCAATGGCTGATGCAAAACTTGTTGACCAAGGCGACGTCCTAACCAGTATGACTCTTGTGTCTGCAGTTTCAAAGCTAGCAACATTAAGAACCTAGCCTAGGGTCCAGACTGGATATGTTACCCCGCCCTGACCAGGTAACGAACCCTTGATCTCCCATGTCAAAATTAGTAGTCATAACCACTTAGCTATATTTGTAAAGTGCTTTTCAAAGTGCTGCATTATAGGCCCATTTTGGGTTGAAATTTTCTTTACAGAGTGCCAAATCGCAAAAATGAGTTAGCAGTTTTGCACTTCAGGTGCCCTTGCCTTGAAGTCAGTGGGTTTTTTCAATATGTTTTCAGTGAAATGTCACCTGTTGTTAACACAAGTTTAAGAGATTTTCGCATTTGGTTTTACGGCATAACATATGTCAGTATTGTGAAATTTTAAGCATGGTTGCTTACAGGTGGCTAAATGAAACTGCAGAGGTCGTCACTGAATGTGGCTTTACAGCTTTGTTGGCCTATAAAACATGTCATCTCTGCACCACACTATACAAGCTCAAGTATTGCCCTTTAGATGCACTTCTGCTGTTTATGGACCAAATATGGTGTCACCCCATGTCTATTTTTGGGCACTCCTGTACTTCTCTGCCATGTTGGAAATATGAATAGCCCAAAGCCACATGGCCACATACCCAGCCTATCGGTGTGGGACCCAATTGGCTGACATTGGTTGTCTTCTATATTTGTATAACCTTTTAAACAGGTTTTTCTTCATGCTCATCTTATCTAAATGTTCCTTGTTATGTGCTTTATGATGACCCTGATGAAGGCCACAAGCCAAAACTGAAACTTTTTACAGGTGTTGCTGGAGTTTTACCTCCTCAGACTTTTCCCTTTGCCGTCCACATTGGAAGTTGTGCCAGAAATCCCTACTCTGCTTCTAGAAATATTGACCTATTGACATTTGACCAGTGTTCTTCCTTGATATTTGCCTACGTTTTGCAGACTTTCTCAGTCTTGCTATATGCCAGGCTTAAACCACAGCCCTCAGTCTTGATACATGGTGACCTACTTTGAAAAACAAGCAAGTGCATAGCTGGAGAGCATAGTACTTCAACCCTGACAGTACCTGGTAGCATCCTGCGGATTTAATTTATTTTACTGGTGTGACATAAAGCATGTCAGCTCTCTTGAGGAATATGAGCTCCTTAGCTACGCAGCCCTTCTTGCTTCCATATTACTAATGCAGTCACACTCTTGCACACTTGTTTTGGATCAATACTATTTGTACACACTCTGATCCATCTTAATTGCCCACTCCATTTAAATATCATCTTGTGCTGCGTGCTAGTGATGATGGAAAGCCTGTCTGGGTGCCTGCTGAGCCCAGGGTGGCGAGGAATGAGATTGCTATTATGCCTGCAGTGCCCTGTGGCTGCTGAGCAGTGATAGAGAGGCCTCTCTGGCCAGGCAGAGGGGAACCACTATTAGATTTGTTGACTGCTCAGCGTTCTGGCATGTTGAGATAATAGACAGAAATACTTTAACTTCAGCAGCCAGGCAATTAATGCGATCATACATATTCTGCCGTATCTCCTCAATGACTTATTACTTGAGAACAAGGCGGCCTATTTGATCCTTGTTGGCATTGTACAGTAGCCAGCTGAGAGGTGCATTCAGAAGGTGTTTCATCTTCAAAAGGATTATCTCTTAATGTGGAAATACTGCACAGCTCCTCACAGCTGCTAACAGCTGAATCATTAACAGTGAGGAAGCACTTGGCAAGGATGGGCCTGACATTGGAATCTGAAGTTATCTTATTGTATTGTGATTACTCAGTTCTGTCTATTCCCATTTATTCGACACAGACATCTATTTTTCTTCATTCTAATTTTAACTTCTCGCAGATTTGGCCACATCTTTTTGTTCTTTTTAGGAATATGATAACTCCAGACAGATCTATTTTAAAGGCAAGTAAACACTGAATGTCAAATGGTTAATTATCTTTTGGGATTAAAACATTCAAGCAATTTTGCACTTCATGCTATACCCAATCAATGATGTCATAGCACAGGGGTTAAAATAGATTGAAGTTCTTGCCTGTACTACTACCCCGAACTTCATCGCGTCATATTGTTCTTACCACCAGCTACATGTATCCCTGAACACTTGCATTCAATTTTTTAGTGCCCGTATGGGTTAGAAAGATATGAGAAACACAGCAAATGGTTTATTTCAGTGGTGTAAATGCCAGAGAATATTTTGTGAACATTGACAGAACTTTAGAAATCATAAACTGTTTTGTTTTAAA